GTCGGCTGAGGCCAAGCACCTGACCCTTAAGATGACCTTTCTCCTCGCTATCACCTCTCTGAGGAGGGTGGGGATCTCCAGGCACTTTCGATTTCTCCCGATGCCTGGAGTTTGCCCCGGGGGGCAGGGCCATCCTGTCCCTTGTCCAGGTTATGTCCCTAAGGTTCCGGCAGACTGGCAGGGTCCACGGTGCTGCAGGTGTTTCATCCCCCACCTCATGTGACGGCGGAGGACGGGAGACATCATCTGCTCTGCCCTGTCAGAGCACTGAGTATTTACACTCTGAGATCTTCCCGGTGGAGGAAAGCAGACCAGTTGCTGGTGTGTTTCGGGTCCCCCAAGGCTGGGCTCCCCGCTTCTAAACACCATCAGCAACTGGATCGTTCAGACTATTTCCCTGGCCTATCAGGTGCGCGGTTTGCCTTCACCTATGGCCGTAAGGGCACACTCTACTTGAGGCATGGCGGCTTCTAGGCCTCCTCGCAGGGCGTCACGGTTTATCCGGTTTTACAGTCTGGACCTTCCTTCTGCACCCAGCATCCGTGCGCTCTCCTCCTAGTCGTGCCGTCAGGTTCTTCCCCTAGAAGGGGAACGAGCACTGCGTCGGTCCGCCACACCTCACCCCGCCTGAAGTGCCTTGCTTCATAGAAAGGGCTAATGTCCTATGTGTCGGCGTGCTTATATACCCCTCCGGTTACGCCGTCACACACTACCGTTCTAGTTACACCAATAGGATTGGAGTAGTTTCATTCATAGTTCAGCCCTGCCACGCCCAGAGGCGTTTCCATAGTGTCGTCACCGACGCAGTGTCTCGTTCCCCTCTCGGGAACAAGGGTTACATACGTAACCCGAGACATTTGTTGTCCACACAGGTACTGCCATGGACTGACGCCTGCTCTGCTCCGCTCTGTCACTGTTGGGAACTTCAGTTTAGAGTGTACCCTAACCTCGTTTGGTTTTCTAGATGGAGGGCGCAGTGGAAATAGTTGGAAATCTGACATTAGGGGGCGTTTTAGTTGAAATTTACGACTTGGAATTCCGGCTTCCCGTGTCAAATGGAACTAAACATAAAAACATGTTGTGGTATTACAGGTGGCTAGCGCAACCAGTGGAGACTTCAGGAAGTCACTGTACCTAGACAGAAAACAGTCTGTCACATAACCCACTGTAATATACAACATGTGAATTACGGGTGCTGGTTGGCAGATTTTGTTACCTTTGGCCTGAGCCAGGCTAGCCGTTTCCCCATGTTTTCAGGCTTAAAGCAAAGCTAAGCTAACTAGGCACCACCTGTAGATTCATCTTGAACGTAACAGCATGAGTGCTATCAGTCTCTTATGTAACTTTCAGCAAGAAAGCAATTCATTTATTTCCCCAAATTTGTAAGTATAGGGCCAGTGTTAAAATAAAAATTATAGTTAAAATAATGATGAATAAATGTTCATCAATTTTTTTTATGTACATCTTGCCTGGACTGATGTTGGGTGATGATGTCTGGCTTACGCTTCACTCCGAGGGGTCGAGGTCTGGGCTCTGTGCCGGAAAGTCAAGTTCTTCTACACTTAACAAGGAACCCATGCCTGCTAAGACCTCCTTTTTTTTTTAATATGTATGTATAGGCTCACAGTAGACGACCTCTGACTGGTCTCCGTCCTCTGCAGTTGCACCAGCTGTGCAGCTTGTTGCATCAAGGTTTGGACCGACCCTCTAAGTGGTCCTCTGCTGAAGCGTGGCATCACTGCGAGCAGCAGAGGAGAGGAATCCTCCCACCAGCTCGGCACGACTATCAGTACAGTGAAATGGAGAGCTGTTGCTACGGCAACCGTTACATGAAAGGGATGCACCCCCCGATTCCCCTTTTATGGCTAGTGACATAGATTCATATTGACAGGTAATGGAGAGAAATCCTCTTCCTGCGGCTTTTGGAGGTTGGAACACACACATTATTTTAATAACAGATGCACAATGCAGCACATTTGTATTCATCTTAGTTCTCAGGATATTGCACAGATATTTATAACACGGGTACTTGAAACCAGTTGAACTTTCTTCTGTATGTCTATGAATAGTTACTGAGAGGTGTGTGTGTGTGTGTGTGTGTGTGTGTGTGTGTGTCTGAGACAATCGGCACCAGGTGCAGCAGCAGTGTATGAGCAGCTCTGTTGTGTTGAATACAGCTTTGTTGTGGAGCTGTTGAATAGAGCTGTTAGTGACAGTCACAGTGCTGGTGAGGTAACCGCTGCACACTGCTGCTCTCTCTTCAAAGATGTGTGTGTGTGTGTGTGTGTGTATTTCTGAGTTTGCATTATTGTGTTAAGGCGGTTTGTGGTTTTGGAGCTTGAGATGAAAAACTAAATTCACAAAGGGTCTGTTGTTAGCTTTATTTTAGGAGTTGTGTTCAATTGTTCAAGTTAGTCCTGTACTGGGGACGGCATTTGGATATCCCCCCCTATCCCTTTTGGTTTGCATTTTTAGAGCTGTGTCGTTCAGTAGCTGAAGAAATCCCTGTTAAATAGTTTCTTTATCTTCACTCACCTCACTCCAAATGTAAGAACAACATGTGCACGATGAGGCTTTTCAGTGCCGTATTTTTTTTTAGCTTTATTTATTCAAGTGTGACATGAAGGTGAGACATCAAAGAAATGAAATGTTAAACCAAAAGAAATGACAAATGAGAGGGTGAAAAGAAAAAGGGTGGAGGGGGGGCATATTGATATAAAAGAAACAGTTGCTGGGGTTTGTATGCATAAAGGCATGCTGTTACATGCATGGAGGTGTGGAGAGGCAGTTTTCTGACAATATGCGAGACGAGCTGCACAACGGTACATAGAAGAATACCAGGCCACCGTCGCCACTGTGCTACCATCTCTATTGTTACCTTAAAATAGCCTAATGATGATGCATCACGCAGCAGAGAGAGCTCCAGGGGAGCCCTCACAGAGTCCTGACGTTTTTTTTTTCCATTTTCTTTTTTTTCCCAGTTACATACAGCGGAGAGAAAAGGTCTACACACCCCTGTTAATGCCAGTTCCTTATGATGTAAAATAATGAGACAAAGACAAATCATGTCAGAACTTTTTCCACCCTTAATGTGACCGATAATGTGAACATTCAATTGAAAAATAAAACCCTCAAATAACCTGGTTGCATAAGTGTGCACACCCTTAGACTAAAACTTGTTGAAGCACCTTTTGATTTTATTACAGCCCGTCTTTTTGGAGTCTATTAGCATGGCACATCTTGACGTGGCATATTTGCCCACTCTTCTTTCAAAAGCGCTCCAAATCTGTCAAATTGCGAGGACATCGCCTGTGCACAGCCCTCTTCAGATCACCCCCACAGATGTTCAATTGGAGTCAGGTCTGGGCTCTGGCTGGGCCATTCCAAAACATTGATCTTCTTCTGGTGAAGCCATGCTTTTGTGGATTTGGATGTGTGCTTTAGGTCGTTGTCGTGCTGAAAGGTGAACTTCCTCTTCAGCTTCAGCTTTCTTACAAACCTGAAGGTTTTGTGCCAAATTGCCTGGTATTTGGAACTGTTCATAATCCTCCACCCTGACTAAGGCCCCGGTTCCAGCTGAAGAAAACAGCCCCAAAGCATGATGCTGCACCACCATGCTTCACTGTGGGTATGTTGTTCCTCGGGTGATGTGTAGTGTTGTTTTTGCGCCAAACATACCTTTGGAATTATGGCAAAAAAGTTCTACCTTGGTTTCATCAGACCATAACACATTTTCCCACATGCTTTTGGGGGACTTTTGGTTTGTTTTTGCAAACTTCAGCCATGCTTGGATGTTTTTTTTGTAAGAAAAGGCTTCCGTCTTGCCACCCTACCCCATAGCCCATTCATATGAAGAATACGGGAGATAGTTGTCACATGTACCACATGTACCACACAGCCAGTACTTGCCAGAAATTCCTGCTGTTCCTTCAATGTTGCTGTAGGCCTCTTGGAAGCCTCCCTAATCAGTTTTCTTTTCGTCTTTTCATCAATTTTGGAGGGACGTCCAGTTCTTGGTAAAGTCACAGTTGTGCTATATTTTCTCCACTTCATGATGACTCTCTTCACTGTGTTATATGGTATATCTAATGCTTTGGAAATTCTTTTGTACCCGTCTCCTGACTTGTGTCTTTCAACAATGAGATCTCTCTGATGCTTTGAAAGCTCTCTGCGCACGGCTTTTGCCGGAGATTCAACTACGAAAATATCAGGAAAATCCTACTAGAACAGCTGAACTTTTTTGTGATTAATCAGAGTCACTTTAAATGATGGCAGGTGTGTAATGACTTCTAGTTAACCTGCGTTTGAATGTGATTGGTTAATTCTGAACACAGCCACATCCACAGTTATAAGAGGGTGTGCACACTTATGCAACCAGGTTATTGTAAGGTTTTTATTTTTCATTTTTCCCCCTCGAAGATTTCAGTTTGTTTTTCTATTGAATTGTTCACATTATAAGTCACATTAAAGGTGGAAAAAGTTCTGATATGATATGACACATATTTGTCTCATTATTTTACATCATAAGAACCTGGCATTTTAACAGGGGTGTAGACTTTTTCTATCCACTGTATTGCTGTTTTTTAATACTAACAAATAATTACATCTTAAAAATCCTCAACAAGAAGAATGCTACATGATGTTAGACAAGTTTGTACCAAGCGCAGTTCAATCTCATTTCTAGATAAAAAAGGGGGGGAGGCTATTTTAGTAGTTTTATTTTTTTAACCAGCCTTTAGAGAAACGCTAAAGCTGCAACTGGTTAAATGTGTCATCTACAGCTGGCATTTAAACTTTCAGTCAACTTTTTACAGATTTGCAGTTGTTGCTATTTAAATGAAGTATAAATGTATTGACCCCGCGACCCTGTACGCAGGATAAGCGGTTGACAATGGATGGATGGGGATGGATGGATGGATAAATGTATTGAAGATAATGATGAAGGTTTTGTTATTATCCCCTCTGCTTGTTTCCCCTCTCCTCCTGCACTCCCTCCTCAGTTTCCAGGTGGCGTAGTTCCCTGTCCAGCCCCTCCCCCTCCTCATCCCCCGGCCCTCCTCTGAGTCGAGTGGCCGGAGTGTCGCCTATCAGTCCTTCCCCTTCAGCCAAACCCTGCGCCACAACCCAGTCGTCTGAAAGACATGGTAACCAGACAGCACAAGTTTGCACACATTTCTAGTGTGTGTTGAGTCTTTACCTCAAAAACTTTTACCTCCACAGCAGCTGTGACACTTACTCATACTATTACTCAAATTTTATTTCTGCTAAAACTTTCTCTTTTCACCCCTCCTCCTTCCTCCCTCAGCCCCATCCCTATCCTCCCCGCTCCACCCGGTCCTCCATCGGACGCTGAGTCCAGTAGGGAAGGAGCTCTCCCCTGTAGCTGAGAGGACTCCCACGTTCTTCCCTCACAGCCGCAGTAAGCCTCAGTGCTGCTTCTCTGTTCCTGCTTTTCTTGCCCCATAGGGAACATAACATAACTGAATAGTCTGTGCTTTTAGTAATCAGAATATTGATGTGCAGGTGAAGACACTCGGTGTGAAACTGGGTCAGCCACAAGCTTTTCAGATTTTATTTCAGTTCTCATGTAAGTCCTGAGAATACGATGTTACAGTTTCACTGCTGCTTCAAGCTACGTTTCAGTTGCGGGAATAAATGTGTGCCAGCCTGTTGTGCATTATTTGTGATGGAAAAAAAATATGTTCCAGACACAGCAGAGAGCAAAGCTGCAGGGAACAAGAGAGGCTACACGTAGCAGATGAAACTAACAGCCACAGGGGCGCACTGGTGGCTTTGTATTTTTTTGTTGTTTTTTTTTGCCCAAGGCCCAGTCCCATGACCGTGATAGCCCAAACAGCAACGTGGCAAAGGCAGGGCCTACTCTTTAGCTTTCTGGATCTCTTTAGTTATGCTATGTCTGTTGTTCTAAATATAAACTCACTTACATCTGTCTGCCTCATTTGTGTATCACCAATATGATGATGTGTTAGTCAGAGCCATAACTAGTCCAAATTCCACCAACCAAACTGTGTAAATTTTTTAAAAATCACACAAATTCTGTGAATCATTTTATAACTGTTCAATTTTATTTTCTTGAAATTTTATCACATTGCATTGTTGTCGAAATGTTTCAAAGCGTTATTTAGACAGTTTGGGGGGGGGGGGGGGTTTGGCCAAAGCAGTCACTTTTAAGATATTTAGTCTTCATACAAAGTTCTTGCGCTGCAGAAATTTTTGGTCCATAGCTGAAGGTAATAGAATGTGAAGCCTGAGGGATTTAGGACCAAAATGTTGTAAATACAGTGAGTGCAAGTGATTGACAAGATATTTAGTCTAAAACATGTCATAATCCGCCTACAACCGTATTAAGTGTGCAGTCGAAAATATAAAGTCCCCTTCAGGCCATTAAACCCCTCAAAGTCCCAAAAATGCTACAGAGGATGTGTCCTTTGTCCTCAATGGTAGATACTACTCTGATGCTTATTACACTCAAAAATTGTTAATTATCTCCAAAATATTAATTCCTCCTTCCAGCAACTCGTCTTTTCTGAAACTACTTCCAGATTAGAATAATCAAAAGACTGTGCTGGAAAGCGTTTTAATACTGTATAGACTATTTCTTCAGTGGAAAGTGAACATTCAATAGCGTGAAGTGAAAAAATATGTTGGTTTCTAAAGTTACCTAAAAAGGCTAATAAACGGTTTTGAAATCTTGGTGTGAGTGCAGACGCAAGAGCAAAATGTGATAAAAGGAATTAAGAATAATACAACTGATGGAAGGGATTAATTTAGAGAGCAGTCATAGAATATCATTAACCCCGGGAGAGGTTGTTATAACCTCTCTGATAATATTTCTGCCTCACTGGTGTTTAATAGACTCTAATTCTAAGAGCTAAGTATCCATTCGTTTGGATCCTTCGTCTTTATGTAGAGGACACTCGGAAGACTCGAAGGTGCTTTTCTTTCTCTTTTTTCTTTCTAAGCTACCAAAACTGCCTCAGTTGTAAAACACTGTGTCATAAAACAAGCTAGAAAGGTAAGATGAGATCAAGGAAAACTGTTTTCTCATACTGGTTGTCTGTCCGTTAAAGGCCGCAGCCTCCAGTGCTCCGCCCTCAGTCCCCAGTCATCCATGGATAGCGACCTCGGTGCTTCAGAGGTGGAGGACGACTCCATCACTCTGGGATACAAACTGCAAGACCTCACGGATGTCCAGGTCATGGCCCGACTGCAGGAGGAGAGTAAGTGATTGATTCGGCTTAAGATTCAAACAGACACACAACGCTAGGCAGGAAAACATGCAGTTTGGCTTGGCCCACTGAGATTTTAACATGCCTAATGATGGTGTTTCTGTCACCAGAACAGCTGTTGCTCTGAGAAATAGTATATAATTAAAACTCCAAATTGCAGGGAATGTGGCCCGCTGCACAGTGGCTGTATTGTTTATTTTAGATCACTGGTTCCCAAACTAGGGAATGACATGGTGGATAGACATGGTCAGCAACAATACTCAGGTAGGCTGTGGCGTTTAAAAGATGCTCAGTTGGTACCAAGGGTCCCAAAGTGTGCCAAAAAAATATTTCCCACACCATTACACCACCACCAGCAGCCTGAACCACTGATAGAAGGCAGGATGGATCCATGCTTTCGTGTTGTTTACGCCAAATTCTGAACCTACCATCTGAATGTTGCAGCTGAAATCGAGACTCATCAGACCAGGCCACGTTTTTCAATGTTCTGTTGTCCAGAGGCCTGTACCACGAAGCAGGATTTGAGCTTATCCAGGTAACCTTGGGGTTAACCCTGGGTTTTCAGTACCACGAAGGTGGTTCACTTCTTACCGGGGTAGATCGCCATGGTAAATTATGCTGAACGGCTAACCTGCTCCGGAGCAGGTTATGTTCCACATAAGAGATTAACTCTATGAAAACGCCGCCTACTAACCAATCAGCTCTCTTGGAAAACATCACCATCTGTAGGGAATCCCACAGACTGTTTTAGCCAATAGGCTGCTTTATGTTTGTACCGGTGATGTGGAGAAACTCTTGACTATAGCGATAGGAGACTGATTAAAAGCCTTAGGCTATTGCTGCCTACAGGTTTTTACAGTAGGCTACAGCAGGATAAGCCTACTAACTGCTTTCAAATGTGTTTGATATTTTTTCATTTGCTCCCAGTCCGTTTCACACAGCCTGATGCAGCCGTTAAAATAAATTAGTTTTATTTGTCTTATGGGAGGCTGAATTATGAGCAGTTTGGTAGGGATTTTGAAATACTAAATTTTAATATGAACGTAGGCTATCTATTTTAGGTTGGTATAGCTTTCTTATAGGCCTACTACAGAGACTGTAGTCTTGTGGGTGAGGGACGGTGAGTTTCCAGTCGCCTAAATGTTGAGATTCAGTCTTTCAGCCACTATTTGAGCACATTTTATGGCATGAATGGAGTTTGTTTCATTGCTTTATGAAGTTAATTTAAAACAATGTTTGGAACACTTTTGGGTGTGTTAATTATCTTATTTTTGAAGAGACGACAAGTTTTTTTTTAAATGAGGTGGAACGGCCTGTGTCTTTTAATGTGGAAACGCCGACACACAGCTGAGCTGAAAGAATAAGGCTGAGGAGATTTTCATACAGCTCATAAGAACACATCAAATCAATGCAATATTATAGACTACGCCTGTTCATTTAGACATTCAGACTGTCTCCCTGCATGTCAATATCAATTTTATTTATATTCAATTCAATTCAATTTTATTTATATAGCACCAAATCACAACAACAGTTATCTCACAGCGCTTTTCATAAAAGAGCAGGTCTAGACCGTACTCTGTGATGTTATTTACAGAAGCCCAACAGTTCCCACCAAGAGCAAGCACTAGGCGACAGAGGCAAGGAAAAACTTCCTTTTAAGAGGCAGAAACCTCGAGCAGAACCATGGCTCAGGGTGGGCGGCCATCTGCCTCGACCGGTTGGGTGAGAGAGCACACTTAAAGCAACCAAGGTTGGCCAAGGTGCTTCACAGGTTAAATACAACAACAAGACACTACTCACACAGTAAAAGTACAGCAATAAAACATATAACAGTATACGATATATAAATATATAGTGATATTAAAACTGCCAGGAATAATCAGACTTAACTTGAAGGATATGCCAAAGAAAAGAGATGCGTTTTTAACAGTGATTTAAAACATTCGAGAGTTGGGGCGGTTCTGATATGGACTGGCAGGTTGTTCCACAGGTTAGGGGCAGCTACACTAAAGGCTCGATCGCCTCTGGTTTTAAGTCTGCTTCTGGGTACATCCAGGAGGAGGAGAATGGTGGATCTCAGCACTCTAGCTGCAGTATGAATGTGAAGAAGCTCCGTTAAGTACAATGGAGCCAATCCATTAAGGCATTTAAAAGTAAGATTTTAAAATCAATCCTGTAATCAACAGGAAGCCAGTGGAGGAGCGCAACACAGGTGTGATGTGGTCCCTCTCCTTCTTTCCTGTCAGGAGGCAGGCAGCAGCATTTTGGACTAACTGCAGGCGCTGAATCGATGACTTGTCTAAGCCCACATATAAGGAGTTGCAATAGTCAAGGCGGGAAGTCATGAAGGCATTACTCGCCCTCCAAATCTTTAGAGGGAGATAGGTCTTTACCTTGGCTATAGTTCTCAACTGGAAAAAGCAGGATCTAACAGTGGTGGATATCTGTTTATCAAATTTAAACGCACAACACCAAGACTCCTCACTGTTGAGCGGCTGTTTGAAGTTAAAGGGCCAAGTGAATCTACAACAAGCAGTTCAGGGTGTCCAAACACTATGATCTGTCTCCGTTTAGGTTGAGGAAATTTAGGTTCATCCACGTTTTGATGTCCTTCATACAGTCAAGCAGGGGCTGCATTGAGCCCTTTGCTTTTACATTCAGGGGCAAATAAATTTGAATATCGTCTGCAAAACAGTGGAAAGAGACCTCATACCTCTCAAAAATGGAGGCCAGGGGCAGCATATACAAAGAAAATAAGACGGGTCCTAAGACAGAACCTTGAGGGACACCACAGGTAAATGGGGCTGTCTCAGAGGAATAGTCACCGAGGTGGACAGAGAAGCTCCTATCGGTTAGATAGGATTGAAACCACCTAAGTGCAGTACCTTTGATTCCCACACAATTTTCCAACCGTGACAAGAGGATTGAGTGGTCAACCGTGTCAAAGGCAGCAGTGAGGTCTAAGAGCACTAGGACGGCAGAGACTCCTGAGTCAACAGTTAAAATCAAGTCATTAAAAACTCTGAAAGTGCCGTTTCAGTGCTGTGACGGGGTTTGAAGCCGGATTGGAACTTTTCATAAACATTATTATTAATTAAAAATGTTTGCAGCTGGGTAAAAACTACTTTCTCCAGGACTTTAGATAAGAAACACAGTTTAGAGATGGGCCTGAAGTCAGAGAGAACAGAGGGGTCAAGATTTTCCTTTTTTAGCAAGGGCTTAAAGGCGGACAGAACATGACCAGAGACAAGACAGGTATTCTATCAATGACAAAATACATGGTCCAACGGTATCAAGACTTTCAATGTAGGTGTAATAGTAGCAGAGTTTCAGGATTTGTAATGGTGTTAAACATATTAAAAAGAACCTGTGGCCTGTGACAGTTGTTGGCAACCAGCTTAGAAATAAAATCAGATTTTGCAGATTTTACAGCTCTCTGATGGTCAGAGAGATATTGCAGTAGGATTTCATATGACACTCTGAGTTTATCTTTCTTCCACCTTCTCTCAGCTTGCCGACATGCACGTCTGATCACACGGGTGGGGTCGTTTAACCAGGGCATGTGTCAGCTGCAGGCGCGTTACTGTCATTTCAATTCAATTCAATTCAATTCAGTTTTATTTATATAGCGCCAAATCACAACAACAGTTATCTCACAGCGCTTTTCATAAAAGAGCAGGTCTAGACCGTACTCTGTGATGATATTTACAGAAGCCCAACAGTTCCCACCAAGAGCAAGCACTAGGCGACAGAGGCAAGGAAAAACTTCCTTTTAAGAGGCAGAAACCTCGAGCAGAACCATGGCTCAGGTGGGCGGCCATCTGCCTCGACCGGTTGGGGTGAGAGAGAGAGAGAGAGAGAAAGAGAGAGAAGAGAGTGAAAGAGAGAGAGAGAGAGAAAGAGAGAGAGAGAGAGAGAGAGAGGGATGTAAGGAGAGAGAGAGGGAGGGAGGCAGCCTACACAATATACACACAGAGGTACAGACAGCGAAGGTAATGTTGCTATAAACTAAATGAAAAATGGTACAGATATTTATAATAGTGTTAATGGAAACCATCGTAATGTTAATGATTATAATAACAATAAGACTAGCAACATAGTCGTTGCAGTAGAGGGTGTCGAGCAGGAACACGGGGGCAGCAGGCGACCCGCAGCCACGATCCAGACTCCACAGCTCCAGAGCCAGAAAACCTGCAGGAAGTGATAGGAGGAGGGAGGAGGGAGAGAGAGAGAGGGAGAAAGCACAAGACTACCAGAAAGGGGAAGTTGTGTTAGTAACATGCAATAATGGGATAAGGTTGCATACAGAGGGAGAGAAAGTAGAGAGAGGAGCTCAGTGCATCATGGGAAATCCCCCGGCAGTCTAGGCCTATAGCAGCATAACTAAGGGATGGTTCAGGACTACCTGAGCCAGCCCTAACTATAAGCTTTATCAAAGAGGAAAGTCTTAAGCCTACTCTTAAATGTGGAGATGGTGTCTGCCTCCTGAACCCAAACTGGAACCTGGTTCCACAGGAGAGGAGCTTGATAGCTGAACGCTCTGGCTCCTAGTCTACTTTTGGAGACTCTAGGAACCACAAGTAACCCTGCATTCTGGGAGCGCAGTGCTCTGGTGGGGTAGTAAGGTACTATGAGCTCTTTAAGATAAGATGGTGCCTGACCATTAAGAGCTTTGTAGGTAAGAAGAATGATTTTAAATTCTATTCTGGATTTTACTGGAAGCCAATGCAAAGAAGCTAAACAGAAATGTGATCTCTTTTCCTGGTTCCTGTCAGAACACGTGCTGCAGCATTCTGGATCAGCTGAAGAGTCTTAATGGACTTTTTCGAGCAGCCTGATAATAAGGAATTGCAGTAATCCAGCCTAGAAGTAACAAATGCATGGACTAGTTTTTCTGCATCATTTTTAGACAGGATGTTCCTGATTTTCGCAATATTACGTAGGTGAAAAAAGGCGGTCCTTGAAATTTGCTTAATGTGGGACTTAAACGACATGTCCTGATCAAAGATAACTCCAAGATTCCTCACAGTGGTGCTGGAGGCCAAGGCGATGCCATCCAGGGAAACTATATCTTTAGATAATGCGTCACGGAGGTGCTTAGGCCCCAGAACAATAACTTCAGTTTTATCTGAGTTTAACATAAGAAAATTACAGCTCATCCAGGTTTTAACATCCTGAAGGCACATTTGAAGTTTAGCTAACTGATGAGTTTCATCTGGCTTGATCGATAGATATAACTGAGTATCATCTGCATAACAATGAAAGCTTATGGAATGTTTCCTGATAATATTGCCTAAAGGAAGCATATATAAAGTGAAGAGGATTGGTCCAAGGACAGATCCTTGAGGAACTCCATGAGTAACTTTGGCGTGCATGGAGGACTCATCGTTAACATGTACAAACTGAAATCGATCTGATAAATAGGACTTAAACCAGCTTAGAGCGGTTCCTTTAATGCCAATGAAATATTCCAGTCTCTGCAATAGGATCTGATGGTCAATGGTATCAAATGCAGCACTAAGATCTAATAAAACCAGTACAGAGACAAGTCCTTTGTCTGATGCAATAAGGAGGTCATTAGTAATTTTCACCAGTGCTGTCTCTGTGCTATGATGAGCTCTAAATCCTGACTGAAAATCCTCAAATAAACTATTGCTCTGTAGAAAGTCACACAGCTGTTTAGCAACTGCTTTCTCCAGAACCTTAGAGAGAAATGGAAGGTTAGATATAGGTCTATAGTTTGATAAAACATCCGGATCAAGTTTGGGCTTTTTCAGAAGAGGTTTAATTACAGCTACTTTAAAGTACTGTGGTACATAGCCTGTTGATAAAGATAGATTGATCATATCTAGTATAGAGGTGCTGACTAAGGGTAAAACATCTTTAAGCAGCCTAGTCGGGATGGGGTCTAAGAGGCAGGTTGATGGTTTAGATGAAAAATTATTGAAGTTAGTTGGTAAAGACTGAGGGAAGCAAACAGTCTAAACATATATCTGGTTCTACAGCTGTTTCTAAGGTTCCTGAGTTAAGAGATAAGTCGGTGCCAATTGAGGGCAGGTCTTGGTGAATTTTGTCTCTAATAGCTAGAATTTTATCATTAAAGAAGCTCATGAAATCGTAACTACTGAGAGCTATGGGAATACTTGGCTCAATAGAGCTGTGACTCTCTGTCAGCCTGGCTACAGTGCTGAAAAGAAACCTGGGGTTGTTCCTATTTTCCTCTATTAATGACGAGTAGTACGCTGCTCTGGCATTACGGAGGGCCTTCCTATAAGTTTTAAGACTATCTTGCCAAATTAAACGAGAATTTTCCACTTTGGTGGACGCCAATTCCTCTCAAGTTTCCGTGATATTTGCTTTAATTTGCGAGTTTCAGTATTATACCATGGAGCTAACCGTCTTTGTTTTAGTATTTTCTTTTTTAGAGGGGCTACAGAGTCGAGTGTCATTCGCAGCGAGCCTGCAGCACTATCAACAAGATGATCGATTTGGGAGGGACTGAAATTAGCATAGGAGTCCTCCGTTACTTTGTGACTAGATAATGTATTTAGAGCTGATGGAATCGCATCCTTAAATTTAGCTATAGCACTATCAGACAGACATCTTGTATGAAATTTTTGCCCAATGGCGAGTAGTTCAGCAATACAAACTCAAAAGTTATCAAACAGTGGTCGGATAAAGAGGGATTCTGTGGGAACACCACTAAATGTTCAATTTCAATACCATACACCAAAACAAGGTCAAGGGTGTGGTTAAAACAGTGAGTCGGTTCATGAACACTCTGAGAGAAGCCGATGAATCTAACAAAGAGATAAACGCAGTACTGAAGCTGTCATTCTCAACATCTACATGAATATTAAAATCCCCTACAATAATAACTTTGTCCGTTTTAAGGACTAAAGTTGACAAAAACTCTGCAAATTCAGATAAGAATTTCAGTGTTACAGTTTAATCCTCATTCATAAAATATGACGCTCTGCTGCCAGTAGACTTGTTCATGTCTGTGATTGGTCATCTGCTGCTAACACCGCCTCTTTTATGTGAAAGCGCTCCTGGCTGAATTGGGGAAACCCTGGGTTGACTTACCGAGTTGATAACCAACTTCGTGGTACCGCTTATCCTGATCGCGATTGTTAGGATTAGTTAAGCCAGATAATGAAAACATATCCTGGGTATGTTGAACTTGCTTTGTGATACAGGCTCCAGTTTTGGTGAGCCTGTGTGAATTGGTTCATTCTTTGCTTATTATTTGAGTTACTGTTGCCTTTCTTTCATCTCCAACCAGTCTGCCCATTCTCCTCTGACATCAACAAGGCATTTTCATCCACACACCTGCCTCTCACTGGATATTTTCGCTGTTTCGGACCATTCTCTGTAAACCCTAGAGATGGTTGTGTGTAAAAAATCATAGTAGATCAGCAGTTTCTGAAATACTCACAGCAGTCCGTCTGGCACCAACAACCATTCCACGTTCAAAGTCACTTAACTCCCCTTTCTTCCACATTCTGATGCTCTGTTTGAACTTCAACATGTTGTCTTGACCACGTCTACATGCCTAAATGCATTAAATTGCTGCAATTTGGCACGTGGCAGCAATTTAATGCATTTAGCTATTTGTGCTAACAAGCAATTGAACAGGTGTACCTAATAATAAAGTGAGTATATCTAATCAAAGACTATAAACCAGAGGTGGGACTAAGACATTGTTTTACAAGTCAAGTCATAATGTGCCCTTGATCAAATTTAATACCAATTTATTTTAAAAATATATTTAAAATGAAAAAAGGTGTATTAAAAAAAGCGTTAACCTGTACAGAAAAAAGGCAGAGGCCCAGTAATTATTTCATGAATTAAATGAAGTGCTGTATATATTGTGTGTGTGTGTGTGTGTGTGTGTGTGTGTGTGTATATATATATATACACACCTGTGTATCACTGTGTGCCAAATCATTTCTTCTGATGTCCATCTGTCTCTCTTGTTCCCTCCTCTCTAATATTTTAACATATGTCACCAGATCTCAGAGCTCATCGGTACTTCAGCTTCATTAACCCCAGGAGGTGATGATTGTGTGTGTGTGTGTGTGTGTGTGTGTGTGTGTGTGTGTGTGTGTGTGTGTGTGTGTGTGTGTGTGCACGCTGGTCCTCATATCTTGCTCCCCCAGGTCTAAGGCAGGACTACGCCAGCACGTCATCCATCCTGGCCAGCCGCCGCAGCCAGAGCTTCACCTTCCAGCTCAGCCAGCTCAGCGCCGGCCCCGACCTGGAGGAGGAAGACGAGGAGGACGACGAAGACTACGGCCTCCTGCCCCCCCCGCAGCCACGCCTCACCCGCCTGCCACACTCCCACACTTTCTCCAGCATCCGAGACTGGCGAAGAAGCACAAGTTCCCTCTCCACCCCTCCTTCCACCCCTCAACTCCTCCGTACCTTTCCGCTGGGTTCGCCTTTCAACATCAGCCCCAGGGACTGGGACTGGGTGTGGGCAGCCCCTGCGCAGCCGAGCAGCAGGGCTTCAGACCAGGATCAGGTGAAAAAAGATATTTTCAACATTCTCTCTTGCAGTTCTGTGCAGATTCTGTTTGTCTTACTGGAGTCGAGGTGAAAAGAAACCTTCACCTAAGCTGCACTTACATGAACAGTAAATCAAATTTTACAGCCCACAACTTTACTGTTTCACTCTCAGAACTCTCAATTACACCATTCTCAGACGCTGCAGGCAGCTGTTTTCACCCACTGTAGTCTGTCTGTGCAGCACCAAATGGCAGATGACCAATGTTAGCAACTAGCTGGTGTAGCATTTAGCAGCGGAAGAGCCAGATATTCCCCTCAGCAGATGGTGGAGACCAAAACAGAGCTAAAAGGAGACTGAGTATTGCATTCATCAGGTGGCGAAAAACACTACTCCAAATGAGCAAATTTGGTTCACCGACAACTTGACAACTGTTTGTCAGAGGTAGAACAAATGTCAGTGTGTACTATTTTCAAACATTGATATGAATGTGAACAACCGTACATGTGTTAAGTAATACAAGGTCAAACATTTCATAGATAATCAACAAAATAATAAAAGACAATGGTTGTAGGACATTTTTTAGCCTTTGCCTTAGAGGTAGGATGTTTGGACTGCTCCTTAATTAAAGGAGGTAGCTTATGGTACCAGCATGTAGAAAGGAATCCATATCTCATCTAAATATCATAATGTTTTTCATTGTATTTACAGTTTGTTCCGCTGCCCTAAAGTGGCCAAAAACTTCCATAAAGTTGGGGGACTCACCAGATAGAGCCATTAATGGTCAAAATCAATAGCAATATCCAAAAACCATGGATCCTATACTTCTCATACTGCAACTCGTGACGTCTTCGGCTGTCCCTTTTTAATTTTTAGTGTCATAAAATTGTAGAAACATGCTACCATAGACCTAGCTAACTATATCCCAATGTGACTGCTGTCAATAGTACTAATCAGTTATCTGTTTGTTTGTTTTTTATATGTTTTGTACGTGAACTATTTGTTTGTATTTGTATATACGTGTATGCCGTTGGGCGTATTGTTTTGGGGGAAACTTCATCATGGCGTCCAGCCGAATATGAGAGTAAGTCGACACGGTTTTCCTCTTAAAATACAATTTAATACTTCTAACCTCCATAAACACTGAATATTTGTTAGTGATTACAATCCTACTTTTCTGTGATTTCACACAATATGAAAATGTCTATGATAAACCCATTCATTCAGTACTTTTGATGATTCTGGTCATGTGTCGCCGCCCCGGACTGACCCACACCGTGTCCTAACCACTTAATAATAACCATCTAAGCCTCTTGTACAACTGCTGTTAAAGCTCTCAGACAGGCGTGCGTTTCCGTTCCAAAGATGAGAGAGAGTTTGATGGGATTAGAGTTGGGAGTGTATATCTGACTGAGGGGGCTGGAAACTGTTGTACAATGAAGACGATCACGACTAGCTTTATGTGCCGTCTTAAGGGATGTAATACAAGAATAGGCATAACCAACAGCTCACACTGTATTATAATGTGAACTATATATAATAGTATGTTGTATTTATGTGTTGCCAGTAAGACGGGTCTATTTTTACATTAAAATCTGCCCTAGTGCATCTTTTAACTTATTTACATTTGTGTGGGTCTATCTATCTCAGATAAGCTGCGGAGGAGCATGCCTAACCTTGTCAGAGCTCCCAGCATGCCTAGTGTGCCCATTCCAACCAATCCTAGTGCTTCCCATTCTTTGCTTCGTAACAGCCAGAGTTTTGATTCGTCCAGTGGGCTGGCTCGACTGCACTCCTCCAGTAAGATACCAGTTCTCTTGTTTTTATTTTGTTTTGGTTCATTATGAATTAACACATGCAGAAGGATCAATTCACTAATTCTAGCTTTCTTTTCTGTTATCCCCGCCCACCTGCAGTCCCCTCCCCAGGTCAGCTGCAGAACAGGGTCCACAGCGTCGGGAATTTCGCCTCGTTGTCGCGGCAACCATTGAAGGCCACCGCCTACGTCAGTCCCACCATCAAGGGCTCGCCCTCAATGCAGACCTCCAACAGCCTCCAGTCTCTGAACAGCGGCAACAGCGGGGATAACAACGGGGTCGGCAGTGGCATCCCACTGCCCAGTAAACCGGCTGGCGGGGGGGGGATGCCCACTTCCACCCCAAACACTCCCCGCAGCAGCCTGCCTCGCCCCGCCTCCTTTGTTGGCACCACAAGCTCCACCCCCCGCAGCAAGGTGGCCCAACCAGCACGAAGGTAAATCCGTTTTATGACATTATTATTATTATTATAATATTATTACATACATATTTTAAAGTGTTCCAATTGGAGAATTAAATACTTTCTCAGTAGGCCTAGATTGTTAGCCATGCTAGCAACATGGCTGTATGTATGGGCCTTGTCAATGGGTCCACCACTTTGGTCCAGACTGAATTATCTCAACAACTATAATATGGATAAGATGGATTGCTATGACATGTGATACATATATCTATTGTTGTCAGCGTTGGAATCCCACTGACCTTTATTCCAGTGCACTTATCCTGTGAAATATCTCAACATCAACCGCATATATTGGCACATCATTTTGTTCATACATTCATGGCTCCCTGACCGTTCCGCTAGCGCCACCATGAGGTTAACATTTATGGTTTTCTGTGAAATGTCTCAACAAATATTGGATAGATGGCCACATGGTATACATGTTAATGTCTCCTTCATGATGAATTTTAACTTTGGTGATCCTTTAACTTTTCTTCCAGCAACATCATCAGGTCAAACGTTGTCCAATACGTTTATTTTTACCAAATACTTACAAAACTAATGACATTCCCACCAACTTCAGCTGTGTTTAGTGCTAATTAGCAAATGTTAGCATGCTAACATGCTAAACTAAGGTGCTGACCATGGTAAACATTATACCTGCTAGCATTGCCATTGTTAGTCATGTCGCCATGCTTGTGTTGAGTTTGAATACAGCTTCACAGAACTGCTAGGGTTCAGGTTTCAGTTAAAACGAGCACTGGTGTGTTTGCCCGGTTCGGTATGGTTCTTTCGGGCTGGTGTGCTGTGAAGCTGTGAAATGAATTCTGGTGCGGACCAAACCACTGCACCGAGACAACCTGAAAAAGTGGATTTCTGGTGCGGTTTGCTTGTGACGTGAAACAATCCAACCAAACAGCTGAACTGTCAATAAATCCATTTGCTGCTCATGAAATGTGTTCAGGAAGCGAAGAAAGTGTCCAAAGTAAGGGATTATTTCAAGCTAAAGAAAACAAAACCTCTGTAATGTTACCGTCCGTCCATCGTAAAAAGAAACTTATGTTGCCTCAGCAATAGCACGACGGCACCTGAACAAAAAGCAGCCGGTGTTTTGCCAGCGGACCACAGACAAGGTAACAATAACAGCAACTTTAGCATTTAACTGAAATCATGATTGATTGTTGAGTTGAAGGCTAGCCAAAGTAAGCCGCAGAACTGAAGCTGAAACAAGAAGCTGAAAATGTGCACACGTGCGTTTGTTGTTCTCCTTTTTGGGCCGTGAGTTGTAACCTCACAGTCATGAGATAACTGGGTGTCAGGGAGCTGCACCTTTTTAACTCTCCTCCAGGTCTCTCTGTAGCTGTAGCTTGTGCTAATCCATCCTTTCACCCATATTTGTATTTATAATTGCCATCTTTATAATAACAAACAACAGCTGTTTCGTGTGCAGGATCGCTCCTGTCCCGTGTCACATTTCACGTGTTTTCTTGACAAAACGTCGTTTGGAGACCAGCATCGGGTGACACATCTGCTGTCAGCTCCTGTAGTATGTGTGTCCCTGTCACCGATCAGTCACATAGTATGAACGCCACAACGACTTCAAGACTGCCGTCATATGACGGCAAGTTGTATGAACGGCACAGCCATCGGCTGACGCTGAAAGTCTGCACGAGCCTTTAGTAGAACTTGGATAGCACTCGGGTGATGTTTGTGTTTGTAAAGCAGCTGTGTAGTTGTTGTTCTGATGTTTGCTGTATGACACACTATAAACGTGCACAGCTGATTGGAGGGGGGGTGCCGCTGCCACCAAGCAAAAGTACTTCTTAAATGACGCATCGATGAATCGTTGAAATATCTATCGAAGCTTCGAATACTAAAATCATCGTTAGCTGCAGCCCTAGTAAAATATATACAGTTATAGTGTAGAAAATAATGCCGTTGAATGACGTCACTTCTGACAAACTGTACCCTATTCTCCCCTAAACACCAGTCACGTTCTGAAATCTTCAGAACCAAATATATTTTTCTATTTCATTAATTAATAACAATTCTATCTAAAACAACATGGTACTGGCTCGGACAACCATGTATATTTGATTGTACTCTGCATGGAGTAATGGAATTAACAACTTTTCTTAATACCGATATCGGCATTGTATATCGGCCATCAGCCACCCTGCATCTGAATATCGGCGTCGGCCATTGAAAAATCAGTCGACCACTACATTGTTACATTATTTATGCAAATCATTTGGCAACCACGTATGCATGTCAGCGCAGGGTATTTTCCATGACTAATAAGTTAAAAGCAGTTTAAAAATGCTGTGCCCCCAATCATTACTGTACAAGACGCCTCCTTTTTGTCCTCTACATCAGCATTCATAGCATGCAGTCAATCTGCAGTCTAATAATCCTAATAATGGCTATAATCATGTATTTCTTCATGAGCTCTTTGTGAGACCAAAGAACATAAATATACACATCAGAAGCATTAAAGATATATATAATAATATATAATATTATTGAATCTTAGTTCTTGTCCTGTTCAAGTTCACACTGACTTTTTACAATTGAAACAAGAGGAGTAAACATGACTGAGAGGGAACTTGCTTATTGGACAGTTTTGTTATCCTGCATCATCAGAACATCACCAGGTCCCACGTGGGGGAATCAAATTCCAGGGAGGATGTTTAAAGTAGTCATTAGTCAAAGGAGTGTAACAAAACAATTTTAAGAACTGCCAACTAATGTTCCATATTCACATTTGTTTTGCACTCCATTGCTTTTACAAATCATGTCTTAAATTTCCCAGTGTCTAATCTTAATTAGCAGCCTGTCTGTTATTTACATCTGTAGTCTTGATAAGTGCCACTGAATTAGTAGGCTTAGTAAATATACCCTTCTCTGCCTTATAAGATGATTTTGCCATTCTTTTATTTTCCTCAGTTTACTGACGCCTCCAAAGAGCTTGTCCACCCTCAGTGCCCTTCGTGACAGCAACTGGAGAGACGGCTGCTACTGATGAATGGATGAGCTGGCGCAGTAGCGCAGTGGCACCCCGCTGGCTGGGGTAACTCGCTACACCTCAACATAAAAGGTTTTCCAAGGGGACATTTGAATGGGTTTGACCAAAAATGAACTGTTAAGTTGACCTTAAATCTGAGATCCTGCATTGAATAGTTCACTGTCATCCCAAAGGGACTACAGCTGAACTGATCTCTCCTGTCATCCATTCAGTTCTATGCAGAATTTCTTCGGGGAAGGTGGGTTGTTGGTCCGTGCCAAGGGGGAGTCATTCCCTGTTGCTCTTGTGCAATAAACCATTGTGACTGTAGGGTACCATTAATACTAACCTGCTAAAGAGGGCTGCCAGTTTTTATGAAAAGAGCATCACAATACTGTATGTATTTATTTATTTATATATTTATTTTGAATAAAAGTTTTTTTGACTAATCAGGTGTTTTCTCTCTGGCAACAAGCGCCAATGATGCTGCTAAAATTGAGTGAGTCCCTGTTAGTTTGGGCACATTTGGTAAGATTTTTTACAGGCAAGATATTTAAGTATCTGTGTACAAAGCTAACTACTAAGTGTGCATACATATATATTGATGCAATATTGTTGAATTTTAAATGGGAATCTTGACCAAAATGAAAATGTCTGAATGTGTTTACAAAATTGTCTCACTATGGCGTCACAAAACTTTGTGAATATTAACACTTCAAAATTGTTTAATGACCTGTAAGAGATCTGTTCTTGTTGCACTTTGTATAAATCTCTGAACTTACTGATATTTTTATGTTCTGTTTACTAATGTTTGCACTTCTTTTACATTTGATCTTCTGGATTTCGGGGAAACAATGTTAATTCAATGTTTTGGGGAGATTTCACAGTTCCACACGGCATAATGTAGCACCCTTTGTTTGTAATATTGGACTTGTGTTTTTAATTAACAGTGACCATGGCACATTTCACACAAACCCAACACTTTTGTTACTGTGATTGACTGAATGAGTGAAGCATTTTAATAAAACACACCAAACTAAAGATGTCTTTTTCCTTTTCTTTGTTGAATATAAACATGTGACTTTTAACCAGTAATGCAGTTATACACTGCCTTCATTTTGAATACCTTTCTTTAATAATGCAAACTGGATTTAACATGCTGTCATTAGATGCAATATGCTGTGGTAATGGCATCACAGAAAGGTTGGTTGTTGACATTTAAATGTTGCCACCTAGTGGTAGAATTTCAAATAGCTGTTTGATTTTAAGTCATGTTCATGGACTGCATGAAATATTGACTGATTGCACAAAAAGGGAGCAATTTAACATTGAAAATATAATATAGATAAATATGTTGAATGTCAACAGTTTTAACCTGAAGTAAAATATATGTATAATCTACACAAACAATTGTAACATATTTTAACACTTTGCTATACTGCCATCTCTTGAGATTGTTTCTGAATGCAGGACAACAGCAGGTCCATTAGAACTGAAGTGGGTGTCCTGCAGTTTAAAGCTTTTGAGTCCGATCCTGATTCAGTGACTTTTAAAAACCCCTCACCCAGAGGAAAGATTGACGAGCTTTGAGTGAAACTATTCAGCCAGTTTGAGTCATTTGTTCAGTCAGCTATGCGCTGATGTCAAGACTTCAAGGTTCTGGGTTCAAACTTGAGTCTGACAGAGTTTTGAACTTAACATCTCTAATGGATCAAACAAACCTGACTTCATACAAAGCCGATGATGAGCTGCTACCATTTCAATTATTGGAGCGACTCAGTGTTGTTTTGATCTCCACTTCACAAATGTTATTAGCTGCGTTTGACTTCATGTGATGCATGCTGGACTTAAAATAAGGTATGCTGGTTAGAAATTGTGTCCGACTTTCGCCGGCGCTGCAAAACGTCACCATGTCACATGAAATTAAAACCTCGAGGGAGCAAGGCGGCTGAAGGCGCCGAGTCCGGCGGCCGCAGTTGCTTTTCCCCGGCTGCATCTCAGCTCACAGTAAGCTCACGCAGGTAGAATGTGTCCGACTTGACGGCGCCGTTTTTATTCCCCGCCTCTGCAGTCACCTGCAGCTCACGTTAGACTATCAAGTCGGCGAAAGTCAGCCGCCGTCATCTCGAACGCACCTATTGTCTTTAAAGACATCAGCAGAGCATATATATTGCCCCCTATAGGCTGCTCTGGTTCAGTGAGTATGTACTGATAATTGTCCAATCTTCTTTGTCTAACATTCACCTGCAGCTAGTGATGGCCAAATGGCGCTTTCCTAATTTTCACTCCACTTTACTTGGGCCTACTGGTAGCCTACTCTCTATGCTCAAATAGTATACGTTCATCTATAGGCCTATCTGTGACAGTTTTGTGCATTTCAAAATGTATTTATATACATAGCCTACTTGAGCAGTTGCCCTAGAAAAATCACAGAAAACTACAATTTCACCTAATTTTAATGTATATTTCCCTACAACAAGGCAATGACGAAATGAAATTAGTAAGCCAGTTTAACACAAACATGGCATGCACTGCTAAGTGATTCAGTTATGAGTCAGGGTTGGCTCTGTTGCACAATTGTGTCGAAATTAGTTCAGTACTCGAGCTTCATTCAGAAATCACAGCACCATCTGCTGGTGAAGATGTAGCCTAATGCAACAAAGCTGACAACCACAAAATGCAATTTCTGCTAATACGTTAATACCAAACCCAGAGTAAAATTTATTGCACCCCTTGGTTACGCTTTTACAGCTCAGGAGAAAAAATTGCGATCCTCATTTCAGCCTTAATTTTAGTGTTGTAGTTACGACCTGTTTCTCATATTTTGGTCCTAAAATTCACTAGGAGAAATGGGTGAGGCAAAGCAATTAGCAGGTAGGAATCATAACTGAGACTTGATGGCGATACCTTGCTCTGTCTCATTAATGGTAAATGTTTTCTCTTTGACAAAACCCCAGACTTACTACTTGAAGGGCAACAACTCTGCCACTTCACCATCTAAATGCAAGATGATCAAGTGATTGGCTTTAAATACAGTACACTTTCCCTTTACGAAAAGTTTAAATACTTAATTACCAAAAACGTCATCAAAATTCTACTCAAGTGAAGGTATACTAGTAGCCTATTCCATAGTGAATGTAGGTATGACGTTGTGTCAAAGTTCTTGCGTGGATTCTGTCCTTAATAAATTAATCTCTAAATATCAGTGGTTGGTGTTCAGTTATGCTGGCTGAACAATCAATAAAAGTGGAAAACATGAAATTTGAAACTGCATTATTTTCAATGTTTTTTTTTTATTCAATAACTGAATTTTCTCTACAGTCTTTAGTGACAGGTGATTTTTAAAATGTCTTTTAAACAACTTAAAAACCAGCTTTGACAAATATTCTCTACACAAAACAACAACAATCCAACCACTATATAACCTACAGTTTCTCCATGGTTTGGATTCAGTTTTATGAGAATACTTCCCTCCAAGATTCAAATCTGTCAAACCCGGAGCGACCTGTCAAAGCATTCATGTGTTTCACTACCTGAGTGAACCAGTGTGTTTGCGTCAGACGTCATTTTAACGTCACTAGTCATGTAACGATACAAGCTCCGAAGCAGTGGTTCGTTGAAGGACAGTCAGACGTAACATCACTACCTGCAGCCAGTTACCTGGATGACAATCAACCAATTAACATGATTATTTATGAATACACAAATCTAAGCCAACAAATGTAGTTAGTGCCTGAATAAAGTAGTCAAGCCACTCTCCATCTACTATAGTTGCAAACATGTCCTAAATGTTTTAAAAACCTCATTGCAACTTTGTTTCATATATATAACATAACATTACAAAATCATGAGCGCAGTGGCTCAATGTTAGATGCCTCTTGTTTGGAGGATGTGGGTTCAATCCTCACTATCAGTCAATTTCAATGTTGGATGTTCAAAAGAAAAAGTGATGCTCTAAAAGAAGGATGGATGAATTCAAACATTTGGGTAACTGCAATTGGAGAACAATGGACGTAAATGTATAAGTGAGTAAGATTGAATGTGTTTGTGTAGTTCTTTCATTGGCTTGTAGATTACATGCATTATCTGCACTGACCTAACCAGAAATTATATTCAGCTATTAGCTAAATTAGCAAATTTTAATTCCACTTGTTCAGCTAAAGCTAACACAGGCCTACATATGCTCAGAGGTTTACTGAGCTGTCTCTCAGTACAAACATCTGGCTTGTTGGTCATTCTTTAAAAATTCACTGTGAAACTCATCTTTAAAATCTTATGTCCAAGTCTGACTCAGACCCATTCAAAGGCAAGATTTGTTTTACTCAAGTTTGTAAGTCAGCAGAAAATGTCAGTCAACAAGCCCAGGGCTAAGTATGTAACCCTTAGAACTGGCTTGAGTCAGTAGTGTTAGAATTAGATTTCAAAGACATCTCATTTGTTAAAAATAAATGATAAACAACCCAACGTTGGTACTGACAGACAGTTCAGGATGATTAACTGGCCTCAGTTAAGCATGTTAGCTTTAGCTGAACAGGTGAATAGTTAAATATAATTTCTGGTAAGTTTAGTGCATATAATGCGTTCAATATACAAACCAATGAAAGACCTACACAAACACATTCAAGCTTACTCATTTATATATTTAAATCCATTATTATCCAATTGCAGTTACCCAAATGTTTGTAGCATGTGCTCCTTATTGCCTCCAGGTGAAAGTGCCAGCTGTCAAACAGGAAGTGGTGGAATCCAATTTGATTTATGCAAGGGGGAACCCAGACTGAACTAAGTGGGGTAGAGTAGAGGGGATGTTTGGTTGTTGTAAATAGCAACAGCATCTATTTTTTAATGTTAATACAGAATGTTTTAGCCTGTGTTTCAAATATATCCATTTATATTTTAAACAGGTTGAGAAAATTAATTCACTGAATTCATACAATGGATGGATGACAAAATCCTCTGTTGTCTTTCCATGCAAAAATGCATTCCTAAGTTCAAACCGAAGTTAGTATGAGGCTTTATAAGTCTTTAGTGTTAGTCGAAGCCATGGCTGTATTTGAAGCCATGTGTTCTTTTATATAGGCTTAAGTACATTATAATATTTATCTTCTAAATTTATTAAATACAATTTAATTTACACAAGCCTAGTACATGCCACTATGCCTATTGATGATTAACTCACCATATGCTTTTAAGTTGCGACAATTTTTTACTGGATATTACAATAGCCTATTTGTGTTTACCTAATCAATATTTTTGACAAAGAATCACAGCACACATACAGTACTTAATTGTTTTATTTACCCTATATTTTTCACGTCTTCTGGCCTAAGCTGAAACTGTTTTGTTTATGTGACTGATCAGTGGATTGTCACATTTTGACAAAGCAGTGGAGATAAAAATAGGTAACCAGGGATCTCAGTTTACCTACAGAGGGCCATGCAGACCCCAGTGATGTAACAGCATCTCCCGTCTTCACAAAGATCATCACGACAGAAAGACCTCTCACTGTGTGGCTTTTTCTTTGTACAGCAAGGGTCATGATGCAACTCACTATTATTTTCAAAAATAATTTCCATTAATTGTTCAGTGTATAAAATGTTAGAAGCAATTTAAATAGTATACTATTATAAAATGAATGTATTTGTATGTAGGCCTATGTTGGACCAAAATACCTGCAAGCTATATATAAACCGGAATTGTGTTTTTCCCCTGCCTGACACATCACTACATCATAAAGGATCTTCGTCCACACGCCCAGCCTCAGCACCAGCTCATCCTTTCTGAACGGGGTTTTTCCCCCAGTATGTGCGCACTAACGGTAGGCTAAAAGAAACCATGATAAGGAGCCCTTCGTGGTAAGGACGAACGCTGCTGGACCTCGTTCTCCTCCTCCCGAGCTCGTGTTTCGCGGTTCGGTATGTCTTTGAGCCTGCTTCCCGTCTCGCCATGCCCGCTGCTGAACGCCACCTGCCGCCGCCGCCGCTGCTGCTCTTTCTGCCGTGGTTGCTTCTGATTTTCTGCCTGGATGGGGCGGTGAGAGCAGCGGGGGAGGGCGGCGGCCTGCCCTCCTCCTCGCCCGGGGACAATGGCCTCACCGTCGCGGTCGGAGACCCGTCCGCCACCGACCCAACCGCCGCGGGGCGATTTCTCAGCTCCTCCGCTCTGACCGCAGGTAAACATAAACAAAAGAAGGAGCGCTCCTCCAGTCAGTCATTGTTAAAGAAAATGGAAATGAGCTGCAACAGAGCTAACACTGTGACTCATAACTGAAGACATCTTCAATTTACTTCTTTTATCCAGCACACAGTCCAAAACCCAAAGAATCTCCATTTACTATCATAAATGGCAAAGAATAGCAGCAATTCCTCACATTTAAGAAGATGAAACCAGCAAATTTTTCAAATTTTTGCTTAAAAAAATGACTGAAATCGATTATCAGAATAGTTGTCAATTAATTTTCTTTCAATCGACTAATCGTTGCAGCCCTAATGCCTAGAAGTCTAACACGGCCGTACAGTGTAGCTGTTCTTCTCTGGCTTGGTTTTGATGCATTCCACTGATTCAGCTGTGGCTGCTTCATCACTTTTTCATGGTGAGGGAAAGGTTACTGAGCACTGCTGAGAGGAAGAGGTGGATGCTGATCTCCATACAGATAAAACACATGCTGAGACACATGTATCACCCCAAATAAATACCTGGATGTCCTGGCCTAGATCAGCTCCAGCCTCAGTTTGATTTCTAAATCAAATGCTTGGCATTCTCTCTCCAGAGACCCAGTTTGCCCTGAAGGTGCTGGTAAGGGACCTGGTGACCCGTCAGCCACTGCCGGGTGCGTCAGTGGACATATATGTCAACCACACCCTGAGGAGTTCTGCCCAAACAGGGGAGAGAGGTGAAGTTCTGCTCTGGGTATTGTACAGTCCGGGCCTCAGTCTGACTCTGCTGGGCAACATGGAAGGCTACGTCCCCAGCGCCCTGCCCTGGAGCACCACCAAGAGACCGAGTGAGTGACGCCCACAGAAACTTTTTATACCTTTATCCAAGCAAGACTAGCTGATTTACTGTTTCAGAATTATACCTAATCGACCTCTGAGTCATGAGCCTGGTTTCTCTGACACAACAGCCATGCAGTAGCAGTAATTAAAAGTGGTTGGTACTACGAGCCTTGCTCAAGAACGCATTGTTTTTTATAGACATGCATTATTTTAGCTGCGTAAACAAAGAAATTATGGAGTGGGAGGCTGTAAAAGGTTGAAAACACGAAAGGAAAATCAAGCAGGCTTGTGCTTTAATAGCTTATTTAGCCACGTTATTCACGCACCTGCATTATTAATGCTCATTACAGATTAATGAAGTGTCTGCGACAACATACAACTTGTCTCTGAGGTTTGTTCATGATGAAGCAATTTATGTTCCCAGCATTCAGTCAAGTGTAACTGAACACCGTGTCCTAGAGTCATCTCATCGATTGTCTCTACAGCTCTACAGTGGAGTCGAGGTGTCTGAGAGAAACATATCCCTGCCTCAGCAAACTGTCTTTGTCCTACACCGAATCAAATTCAGAGGGGGGTGGGGGCTCTTCAGCCACAGCGATCTCACGTTGGTATAAAAACTCTATTGTCAGTGTTCTCACATCCTCTGACCGGTCTGAATCAGACAGAAGAGAAGCAGGGAGGTGGTGTTTTAGAGTTGAGATGGAGCAGGCGTTAGGGAGAAAATCAGAGCGATGATGAAAGAGTGTCATCTGTCGAGACCTGCTTTGCTCCGCATTATCCGAGGCGCCTCCCTTTTGTGCTGCTAAGCCAAACAACTGAACCCTGAAAAGAGGTTTGAGGTAGGAATGCCCTCTGCTGGTGGTACTACAGGTCTACAAGTCATCATTAACAGCTTGCCCAAAAAACCACAGAGAAGAAGCTTGACCTCTCTCCTCACGTATCATCTCTTGCTACATCTTAAATCACCTATTCACATTTCTTCCTGTAAAGGTGATTTTTCCTCTATGAAAGAAAAGTAAAAAATGTTGAAAAATATTAGCATTTGTGTTTTATATCTGACCTTTTTATTTGTCTTCCTGCAGTTTTCTCAGCTGTGACGTTGCTGCTGCTCCCTCACAGTCAGGGCAACATCTGGCTGTTTGAAGACTCAGTACTTATCAGCCGGAAGTTACCTGGTAAGTTTAAGTAACTTTTTTTGACTTCAGGAACAAGTCACCTATATTATCTTTATTATCATTTTACATTTTCAGGCCTTGACTTGAAAAATATTGGTTGTTTTTCCTGAATTAACTGAGCTAAACGTGACAGCTTTAACCAGTTAAGCTGGGTAGTTTTTAAGTTTTTGTTAGAGTAGAAAATTAAGAAAGTATTGATTGATTTGCTGTATTGCAATATTAAAATGTGAATAGGATAAGTCACTACTGATGTAGGTGCTGAGGTAAACCACAATACTTTCTATACTTTCAATAGTTTCTTGTCGCTCAGATCAATTAGGGACATTTAAGCCTCCAACATCTTGTGCTATATGTGCCAGATTAAGAACAGCAACTGTAAAATGTCCCCTCAAAGCACGACACTACATTATATATTTAAACATACTGCATTGTGGGTCCAAATTTAGATTAATCATATGTCAACTTGTTATTACAGACAGTTCATCCCAACCCAAGGTTTCGTTCCCCAAGAACCTCCTTACAATGTCTGATAAGAGCAACGTCTCCTCAGTGACAGCATACCTGACTGTGCCACAGCACCACCTAGCTAAAGACTGTGCCAACTGCACGCCGGGCATCATCAGCAGCAAATCAGGTGAGCGTTAAATAAGGCCTCATTAATATATAAAGCAGTTTATTCTTAGTCTGGAGTGTTCATGTTTTGGTTTGGTCACTGACGACATATTTCTCAAAATACACTGAATAGGACTAAAAATTCTGCCAATGGGCTGATTATAATGTTTAACACGTTGAACTTGTTGGTGGGCATTTTTAAATTTAGCACATTTTAGAGTTTATTTCATTATTTTTTGATAATTCTTTACAAAATTGTTATAAGGCATTGTTTAAAGAGGTGGTATTTTGCTCATTTTCAGGTTCAAAATCCTATTTAGGGGTTGTACCAGAACAGGTTTACATGGTGTAATTTTCAAAAAAACACCATATTTTTTATCATCCTGCACATTGCTTCAGCTCCTCTTTTCACCCTGTGTTGAAGACTTCGTTTTAGCTATGGAGTGATACATCTTGTCTGTAAATGATCTTTGTTGGGAGTTGCACATGGCAGTTCCTAGTTAAGGACTACTAGCCAATCAGAAGCAGAGAAAGGCGGGTCAGTGAGAAGCCAAGGCTTTGTTTCAGCTGTACATGTTGCCGACCAGCTTGGCAACATAGACTGGAGCAAGAGTTTCAGAGTGGTGAGTTATTAACCCTTAAGAGTTCCTTAAAAAAAAAAACTTAATTGACAAAAAATGGCTCCTTCCCAAAAACTGCTGTAAAAATGTCATAAATTAATATTTATTTCCACTTTAAATGAGTCAATCTTTCAAAGCTACTTCAGCCTGAAATATACATATCAAACATTAATTATATTTGGGAGATTTTAACCCTTTAAATGCCATTATGTTTACATAACTCCACTATTATTTTATTGAAAAAAAACAAAAAATCTAAAATAATTTCCATAAAAAACAATTCAAGGACTGCTTGATTATTAATATTATTATCAGGGCCTGAGATGGGTCACTGATTGGCAGCAAGATTGATTTTGATGCATTGTTATTTTTTCTGCAGTGGCAGATTCATAATCTTAGTTTAGAATGATATATGATCATTTCCAGATTCTCCTGTGTGCTGTCTTGCCATCTCCAAAATGACTACTCCTGCACTACTGCTCATACTTAGACTATTAGGTACACCTGATCAATTGTTTATCAACACAAATAGCTGGTCAGCCAATCACATGACTGCAACTTAATGCATTTAGGCATGTAGACGTGGTCAAGACAACTTGCCATTCTGTTCATCAGAATGGTTGTTGGTGCCAGACAGGCTGGTCTGAGTATTTCAGAAACTGCTGATCTACTGGGATTTACACAACCATCTCTAGGGTTTACAGAGAATGGTCTGAAAAAGAGAAAATATACAGTTGTGTGGACGAGAAATGCCTTGTTGATGTAAGAGGTCAGAGGAGAATGGGTAGACTTGTTCGAGATGACAAAGGCAAAAGAAACTCAAATAACCACTCGTCACTCGCAAGGTATGCACCATTCAGATGCTCGGGTCAGATTCTGGCGTAAACAACAAACAACAAGCATGGATCCATCCTGCCTTGGATCAACGGTTGGTGGTGGTGGTGGTGGTGGTGATGGTGTAATGTGTGGGGGAAATTTTCTTGACACACTTTGAGCCCCAGTGACCATTGTATAAATGCGACAGCCTACCTGAGTATTGTTGTTGGCCATCCCTTTATGACCACAGTGTACCCATCTTCTGATGGCTACTTCCAGCAAGATAATGCACCATGTCACAAAGCTCAAATCATCTCAAACTGGTTTCTTGAACATGACATTGAGTTCACTGAACTCCAATGGCCTCTACAGTCACCAGATCTCAATCCAATAGAGCATGGCGGAAGGGGAGATTCACATCATGAATGTGCAGCTGACAAATCTGCAGCACCTACTACTACTACTACATGATGCTATCACGTCAATACGGACCAAAGTCTCTTAGGAATGTGTCCAACACCTTGTTGAAAATATACCACGAAGAATTAAGGCCCTGTCTACACGAACACGGGTATTTTCAAAACTGTGACTTTTTCTATGTGGTTTGGCAGTTCGTACCGTACACATGGAAACGTAGTATCAGGTCACTGAAATCCGAACATTTTTGAAAACCCCTGCCAGGGTGAAGATTTTAAGAAATGCTGCAAATGTTGCAGTGTTATGTTGACACTAAAACCAGAGTTTTTGCCTTGCGTTGTAAGAGTGCGTGCACCGTTATCTGCTGTGTTTGATGTCAGATTGTGGGCCACTGCCTGCTTTGTTTCTGATATTATTAGGCACTGATTGGCGAACATGGCTTTACGGTTAGGGTCATATTGCCTCCTGGTGGTTTGGCATGCTCTTGGCAGCGCTTGATAGCGTGTTTTTGCATTTTCATGTAGACAGAAATTTTTTTTGAAACCCAGGAAAAACTCCGGTTATGAAAATACCCGCGTCCGTGTGGACTAGGCCTAAGGCAGTTCTGAAGGCAAAAGGGTCTCCAACCCGGTACTAGTAAGGTGTACCTAATAAAGTGGCCGGTGAGTGTATAACCATCGCTGCAGTGCACCTGCATAAACAACCTGAATGAGAACAAAAACAATGTCCCAATTTTGTTTTGGTTCTCGCTGCTCATCGTTTTCATTCCTGGATCAGTTCATAAAGCAGAGTGTGGCCTTCAAAGAGAAAAGACTTTGAAGATGAACTTGGACATGCATGCGCATACACACACGCGCACACACACGTGCACACACACACACACACACACACACACACACACACACACAGACCTTTCTTTTACACAGACACCATCATCCAACATCAATATGACACACACACACATATCATTTCAGGGGCAAGACACCCTCGCAGAAAACAGCTAAAAAGTGTGAAATTTGCTGCATGCTGTAAAAGGGAAAAAAGTAGCACAAACTGGTGGACAGATATAAAAATAAAAAATTGTAAGCTAGTAGTGTAAAATGAAATATTAACATAAAGGAATGCATCAGTTTAGGTTAGGATAAATGCGGGATCAAAAAACGCATTTTCAATGGTTTTCAATGGGGCATTTTTTGTCCTAAGGGACGAATGTGTCGGTTTTTGCGTAGCTTAGCCATTTTAAGCTAATTTAAGGAACTGAGATGACAATTGGAAAATTTCTTTAAAAAGAATATCCTCTGGCAAATTTGAGCTACTAGAGGGTAGCTAGTGTTTGGAAGAGAGAGGAGGTGTGTGCTGCAGCTCAGTGTTTTTACACCGGTGTTTTTGAGGGCGTGTCAGAGTAGCCGCTTGGCGAGTGTTATATGAGGTGCATTTAGCTTTCATCCCTGTGACGTCACAGGGATGAAAGGGAAGCGGGTGGACTACAAACGAGCTGTTTTCAGGCAGTCCAGAGCAGAGTTTTCTGTGGGAGATGGGAACTCCCTTTGGGCTGGACTTTGGGCTTTTTCACTTTGCAAACCTATTACATGCACAAAAAAGATATATAACTCAATAAAGGAGAGGGAAAAAGCCAAAAACCATAATATCACCTCTTTCAACTTTGACTTTAACCCCTCTTACTGGATCACTCCTTCAGTGTTCAGAAGCATCGAGCTGAAGGCGGTGGCAGCCATCAGTGTCCTGCTGTACTCTGGTGGTCAGGAACTCCAGGTACGAGGGCCCATTCAAATCAGCCTGCCCCTGGGACACAGCACGCACCTCAGGGCCTCTGATACTGTGCCAGCCTGGGCCTTTAACACAAAGACAGGTAAGAGGAAAGATCACAGAGAAGCCGCTAAATGACTTCACAAAATAACACTAGAAAAACACAAAATTCATATATAGAACGATCCAACATTCAGAAGGAGATAAAATGTGTTCCTAGCTGACTGAAACTCTTTCAAACACATCAACACACTTAAAATAGTCTGACTCAGTAGTACACCAACTCAAGCATAAGAGCCAATATTGTGAGCCAATTTTGATGATTAAATGATTTGATAATAATTAATGTTTATGCTGTTTGAAGGTGCCTGGGAGAATCAGGGTCTGGGAATAGTAAAAACAGTTGGTGATGAGCTGGTTTGGACCTATACCGCTTCCCATCTGGGCCACTGGATCGCTGCCCCACTTCCCTCATCAAACGGTACAGAACTCATCTACCTTCATTAACTCATGTAATTGCAGCTTGTGCAGAGGTCTGCCGACATTTGTATTGGTAAATGCCTATCTATAAATTTAACCATATAGATTACCTGGGTCATGGAAGCTCTTTGGATTTCATATCACACCACACCTACCTGTTGATGGGAATACTGGGAGGAATGCTGGCTATAGTAATTGGATTCCTTTCCTTGCTGCTGTGTTACTGCGGGTGAGAAATGCTGCTCAGAAATGTTCTTGGTCAGGTTGAATTTACAGTATATAAAAATGTTTTTCTGTTTTCTATGTACTGTTTAGACATGTGTCAGAATTTAGATATGTTTTGGCTACAGAAATCTGTGAGTCACATATATAATATATGTAATATAGTCACTCTCAAGCTTAGTGGACAATTTAAAAGGCCTTCAAAACTTACTTTCTCAATTAGCTCCTTACTAGGAGCAATGAGGTTCTACGTGAACATTTAAATTTGTGCCACGGTTGGAACGGTTATGGTTATTTCAGATTAGATGTCTGGAAGTTTTGTTTCTCTGTACTCTTCCCATTGATTTTAAATAGGCAGGGCTCAGTTGGAAAAAGGTAATATCACGGATTTCCACGCAGCAATCAGGATTTACCAACATCTGAATCAGAATCTTATGACAGCTGATGAGTTGTTTAATTCTTGTCACCATTTTTTAATGTATAACTCTTAATAACACTCATGTTTGATCTTTGAATAAGCAACCTTGTAAGTTATAGCAACTGAAGCCAAGTTTTCATGGTCTAACAGCACATTTAATAACCCTGTTAAAGAAGAGACTGACTAGAGATAAATGTCCGATAGGTATAACTAGCTACTTAAAATAAGAATGCTCAACTGTCCCTTTAACTTACCCTTAGCTGGTCTGGAAAGCGACCCCATGGTACTGCAGTCCGTCCTGATTAAATTATGTTTCTTCCATATACAGAGGTTCTCATCAAGAGCCCAGGAGTAGGAGGAGAGCACGCTTTTCCAAACTCACAGTGGTGAAAAAAGACCAAACCACCTCCACCCACATGGAAGAGGGTTTGTTGTTCCGTTCTGGCGACAACAGCCTCGCTTCCTGCAGTGTCCAGTGTGAACCTTCGTCCACACCGAGGCACAAGGCCAACTACAACATATATGTGGAGGATCCAGGGAGTCTCCCGGCGGCTCCCTTTTATGACAACATTGCTCTGAGTCGGATCAAAGGTTCCCAGCCACCCTCTCACTACATCAACAGTGAAGAGGTGGCTCGGCTTCGGGAGAGGTCAGAGCAGAACCGGGCCAACATGAACTCTGACAACTTCTTTCCAGATAAGCTGGTTCATATCTACAACCAGCCGGTGGCCATCATTCAGGCGCCGGAGCTTTTCAGTGCTCAGGAGCAGCAACTGTCAGGCTGCAAGTCTGCTACTTTCCCCCGCAACGGAGGTGAGTATGATGCTCACTCGGAGCCTGCAAGTAAGGACAGCTACACCCAGACACTACCCAAAGTCCCTCACCACCACTCCCAAGGTGGAAGCAGTCCACAGCAGAGCAGCCAAGATGAGCCCCATTCTCTGGAGACTCCTCCCCAAGGCCAAGGCCCTAACGCTAGTGTGTGGGGACGCTACAGTAACCTCCTTGAATCCTCCGTCTCTGTGCCTGGGACTCTTAATGAAGCAGCTGGTATGGAGGCTTTCAGCAATGGGCATGGTGTACCCAGTGAGCTGCAGGGGATTTCAGAGCGCACCTTGCTGGAGCTTACTCGGGGCAAGTCCTTGTCGTCTCACCCCAGGGCCTGGTTTGTCTCCTTAGACGGGAAGCCGGCTGCCCAGGTTCGCCACTCCATTATTGAGCTCCAAAGCCGACACCGCCCACCTAGCAGCAACGACACCAGCCTGGACTCAGGGGTGGACATGAACGAGCCTCAGCAGAATATCCGCGAGACAGAGCGTGACAGGCCTTCGATCAGGGCTTCTTCCCTGCCACACCACAGCCGAGGGGGGCGTTACGGTGAAGAACAGGACCTGAGCAGTAGTGAGAGTGGCACAACAGCCACCTGTACGCCGGAGGACCCTTACCTGAGGAACATTTTAGACGGGAGCAGTGGGGCTATTCCCAACATTCCTGAAGAGCGAGACGGTATGGATACATCCAGCGCTCAGGAAGACAGTGAGTCAAGAGGTACACCGCCTCCACGGCGTCTGAGGAAGGTGAGGGAGAAGGGGAAAACGGAAAAGAGGAGTGCCAAGCATGTCCGCGAGGGGAGGCCTCTGACCAAGCGAAGTTAGAGCATGGCTCATTGCAGACGAGAATTCTTTCATCAGTGCTGAATTTAAATGTCCCATTAACAATTTAACCCACATCAAGCTATTTTCATCACGTGGTGTCATCAGTGCTGAGTGATCCAAATTAGTTTTTTCCACTAGTGCTCACACAGGCATTGTTGTTGTTGGGTTATGTGATTGTACAACTTTGCCAAAGAATGCATAACCAAGCTCAAGATATAAAGCAGGATGTATGTCATGTTGAAGCATTATGTAGCTGCTGTTAGACAACTTTGCGCACCATGTTCTCTCATTCTCCCAAATCTGAAGATCACCAGCGAGATTCTTCACAGCAAAATGTCCGTGTGAACACGATATCACATAGTCCCCAGCACTGGCATTATAGAGGGTGCCTTCTTACTGCCTGTAATTATTAAATATGATGATGTAAGACACAGTATGTGTCTGTGTTTAGTCAAATCTGGTGAGTTTGCAGGATGGACAAAGATACAGGTCTATGTGTAGTGCACTTATCCTCACCATAAATGCCTGCTGTAAATTAAATAAGATATAGAAGCGTTCCCGGTTTTCAGTGCTGACATCTCATTCTGATCATACTGCCTCATTTTACTTAAAGAGAGGCTTTGGGGTTCATTAGAGGATTCAGTTGTGTCATTAGTGGAATCAGCTATGTCAGAGAATTCAAGTTTTCAACTCACGACACGAAATTCTCCTTTATATCGGAGTAATACACTGATGTACATTATAAAGCTAAGCTGCCATTTTGAAGTTATCACACCTGATAGTCAAGGTTTCAAACCTACGATTATTTTAGAATGCATGAATATGAATGTTTCCTTGTGTGTATGAAAATATTTGGCATTTTACTGTAGAGCTTACATTATGCTATCCTGGCTGTTAAATTACATGATGACTTAATTTTATTGTCTAGTCTTGAAAGGGGACTCACTGTTGTGCTGCCAACTGTAACTACTGTAAGGAGCTATTACAACACAACCCCAGGACTTCTACACTATGTTGTTTCTGGATATCATCCAGCTACTGTTAACAGCCTGAGTAAGGAGGAATTGTTGAGTGGTTGGAAGTTGCACAGCTCTGTAGGTAAATATTTGATATATTAACATTTAGATGTTAAGGAGGCCAAAAACTTCTGCTTAGCCCTCCAAGTTATGCATTATAATTATCATTTTCTTTTTTAATAACATACAGTATTATCCCTTGTAATTATTTTTGATTCGGTGCCCTGGAGTTTTGCTTTTTACAAACTCTTATTAAATTGACAATATATTTACTTCCTAATTAGCAACGACCATGGGATTACTTTTTTTGTATTGAAAGATATAACTTAGGAAAGAAAGATTTTCAACAGATTTTTCAAGATGGTCCACTACATCTTGGTACAAATATTAGATGGACTGCCATCGGATTTTGTACAGACATTCAGGGCGCCAAGAGGAGATTCCTCTAGCACCACCATGATGAGGCTGACATTTGTGGTTTTGTATGAAATGTTTCAACTGCTGTTGGATGGACTGCCATGACATTTGGCACACACATTCACGCCCCCCCCTCAGGATGAATTCTAGTAACTTTTGTGATCCTTAAACTTCTCATCTACTGCCACAATCCCGGAAAAAAACTTCCAACACTTTGGTTTATGACTAAATACTTACATAGCTAATGACTTTCCCATCAGCCATGGCTGCAATGAGTGTTTAGTGCTAATTAGCTGTTACATGCTAACATGCTGAACTAAAATGGTGAACAATGTTAACCTTATACCTGCTCAACATTACACTTAGTGAAAAGCATTACAGTGCTTCAATATGGCCTCACAGAGCATGGGTCTCTTAGTCTTGTCTGGGTTAAACCCAAGTTTTCAACAAATGTACAGTATTTTAATACCAAACTACAAAGTCACATGTATGCCTGTATTTCATATCTGTCTTCTACTTTACATGGTGGTTTTTTTGAGTCAAATAAAGCACACTACACTTTAATATGTGAGACACACAGCATTCCCAGAAACCTATTGACTTTTCAGTGTGCAAATAAAACAGCAACAATACTGAATACTGATATCACTGGCCATACATGAAAAAGTTTTGCAAAACAGTCATCATGAATATCAGAAAGTGGTTCTACTAGCAATATTTTAAATTTAAAATGGAACTTTGCAGCCACAATTTTGCCATATTTAGTCTTCCGTCATGGTACTACTTTAAATTATTTCACTGAGGAGTTCAATTTGTACGTATAAGGTTCGATTCTGTAGCTACATTCATGTTTTATTTTGTATGTATATAGTCAATCAACATTTTCTGTATTATATGGCTGTGGTTTAAATTATTTTGTGCTATTTTTCTTCCATCTAAAAGCAAAGGTCTGACAGTTGTTCCAGTGAATGGTTGATTGACAAGCTTTTTGAGCCAGCGTCGTAAAATGTTATCAATGTGAATTTTTAAGGTTAGCCTAAAGAGTGTCTTTCCATAGGTGTGTATAATAACCCTGAGCTTCATAATTTTAAATGTAGCAACAACTTGAGCACTTAATCATTTAGTATGCTTAAACATTAAAATACTTTCTCCAGCTCGTCACCATCAGCTTTATATCCCAGCTTACACGGCGACATGAGTAGTTTGTGAACACTTGACACTTGTGCTGATGAATCTTTACATGCAAATCAAACCTACTGCCACTCCTGTTTTAAAGTGATCTTGCTTAATGTATTTGTATTGATTTGAATGTAGAGTGCTCCTCTTGTGTCTAGCCATTGAACCTCATGGGCTTTTGTTTCTTCCAAAATGGGCACCTCTTGTGTTTCCCTCTGTAGTGATGGTAGTGTTATTAGTCTTGCCTTTTTGTGCATTAAATTAATAAACTTACTTGATACCAATAATTGTTCAGAAGATGCTTTCATTCTTCTTCTTCTTCTTTGAAGCATATTTGTACAAAAACAATATTTCAGATTTACATACTTATTGATTTATTCCATTTTATAAACATTTAAAAGCAAAATAAGTGCAGATACACAACTGAAACCTTAAACATTCAACCTACCTAAGATCACACATTTCAAAAACTATTTTAACTCTTTGTCTTCCTCTGATTCTGAGTGTTAATGAAGATCCCAGTCATTCTTAGCTCTGAAATGAGTGGGTTGTTTGGATATTTAATAACCACGCCTGTCCTTTTGGGTTGCAGTCTAGTTCGCCTGGCAGGAAAAGCCACTGCAGCTGTGTGGTCTGACTCTGGTCTCCACAAACCTACAAAAAGGTTCAGTGGCTGTTGCTCTCTGATTTTTGTCACTGCAGCACAACTATCAGGTGAAGCAGGGCTGTGTTTTCTCGCTGTCTTTTTTGAGGAATGTGCACGTGAGTTAGATTTACTTCGGTAATCAATAGAGGAGTTGCTTCCAGAAATAGGAAGAGATTATTTTCTCTGTAACTCTCTTTTTCCTACCTTCATCACAGTGTCTGCTGTAGCTATGCACAAGCCTTGTATCCTGTCAGTTATTAACTCTTGTGGGTTTGTGTTTAAAGTTACCGAAGAGCCTGTTAGTTAAGAGAACCATTTGAGGGAGTGACTTTAGTGTTCCTGTACTAGACTCCCACACCAGGAACAAACAGGTCCTTTAAGTTGTTTTCTGGTCGTTTGGCACGGTCACTGAAAAGGCAGGAGGCAAGCTTAGGGGAGGTCCTCCTCTCAGTGGTTCTCCAAGTCAAGACATATCCATCCAAGGGGCAGGAGCTCGACTTCTGCAGGATCCCATCCACACAGTCTGTGTGGAACTGAAGTGTGTGTGTGTGTGTGTGTGTGTGTGTGTGTGTGTGTGTGTGTGAATGAATACTTGAATTTTCTCTGATTTAGTATTGAGCTTTGCCCATTTCTTTTAAATTTAGGATTTTAGTGTACTAACGGACAGTCTGAAATTATCTACTAAACATAAACTTGATCTCTTAATGATGTGATTTTTACTACTTTGTATCATACTGATACTGTAAGTTAATGCATGCGCAAAATGAAAGGTTTTACCTTGTGATGGCAGGGTAGAGATCGGATGCGCTGACCCAGGCTAAAATCCTGCAGACAGATCCGACACTGCTGACCCTCATCCAAGAGCCAAGATCCCGATCTCACCCTGACAATAGGCAGACACCCCAACACGTGTTCTGGTAGAGGGACTACAGCTAAAGGGATGATGCTGAGTGGCAAGATATTTAGTGAACGAAAATTTGCATATTATTAATACATAGTTACAGTTATTCTTCTAACCAAGATTTTTTGTACTACAAGTTGTCAGAGTGAATCTGGCCATCTTCTGGGTGTATTCAATAACTCACCTGTCATTTTCTGGCTGAGAGGTCAGGAGTTTAGTTTTTATTTTCTTTAGGTGTGTATTTATTTTGAACCTTATAGTGTTAGTTAGGATTACTTGTTAACACCATTAACACTACTCACAACAAACAGAAATAGGACAATTCACTTGACAAAGGCCAGTTCCATTAGGTATTTGCAGTAGATGACTGCAATGTGTGGCATTAAGACCAATGCAATGTTTAGTGTTATCTGAATCATTGTTTGTTTAGCTGATGCCGTGCACATATTTTTTTCAACACTAAATCGCCAAAGCTTACTGTTCGTGAAGCAAACGGATGATGTGGGTGGCAGCCCTTCTTTGAGCAGTCCTCACATAAATAGAAGTCACTGCAGACTGAGCATCTGAACAGATGATAACAGGGATAAAAGGAGGCCTGGGAGCACAGCATGACTAGGAAATGACGGTTTACCAAAATAGTCTGCCTCACAAAAATTTGCAAACATTAGATACAATAACTTACAAAACACTACAGTATAACAGTAAACTGCCAATTACCATACTGTACCATACTATACAATACAGACAACTTTTATTTCTTCTAAATTTTCCCCCAAACTCTTATGACTGCTACCTGCTTACTTGAAACATTTGCCAGTGACGGGGCAGACCCCGCAGCTCTGACAGAGAACTCCCAGGTGTCTGTCTGGCCTCTCTCTTTCAGCGGCAGTGAAGAGCTTTGCTGCATTATTCACCTGCTCCTGGAGTAACTTCAATGAGCTGAAGTCCTCCCTGCACAGAGGGCACTTCACTGTTTCTTCCCTGTCCAACAGTCTCTGGTGATCCACCCACACCTTCATGCAAGAGATGTGGACATTATTGCCACAACCGAACCTGGGAAAGACAAGGACAGCGCATGATAGCGCAGATGTGCATGCGTTTTAACAAAATGTTGTCTTTTGTGAATATCAGGAGGTTTGAACTTAATTTTATAACATCCGAAAATCTGTGCTGGTGGTTTCCTCCAAGCTTTCTGTATGTCAACACCTGGGTGTGCAGTACTGGGGCTGATAATGCTTTATGGGGTCATGTTCTGGCCAGAAGTGCAACAAAACTGGACTAGAACATCTTACATCATTGTGAAACATCACTGTACTGAAACAAAAACAGTGAGTGCAACCCCGACCCTAGTCCGACCACAGCTGCCAACACACCTGCAGTAAGACACAGGCTGTTTTTTCTCCAGCAGCTCTTCTTGACAGATAGGACACACATCCTGGGCTTGGATCACTTTCCGGCAGACACTTCCAGCCTCCTAGTCCATGACTGGTTGGCTCGGGGTCCTAGAAGCAGCAGAAGGATAATTTTCCGTCCGGTGGGCTTTGGTTTGATGTAAACCATGGAGCACCTCCAAGATCTGTCTCTCCACAAGTCCATGCTGAAATGAATCTAGAGCAGAGTTATTTATAACAGTGCATGTCAACAGGAGCACGTGTAAAAGGGTGGGTCAAATTACCTGCAAAGTTTACACACCAATTATTGTTCAGTGTTAAACCTGAAATACCCACACAGCATTAAATAGTTTTAATTTAACTTTAGTCTATTAAATCAGCATTGTGCTGTCCCACATAATCAAGGTTTAAAAGGAATTCTATCACTGTTCTGAAGCTAGATGTTAGGTGTAATAGGGGTTTTGATGACCTTTCATGCTTTAAGTGTGTCACAAAACCAAATCTTAAACTGAATTTTTTTAAGTCTCTTTTTAATGTTTTAACAATGTAACTGAATTGAAAAAGTTCAGTATGCAATCAGTGTAAAATAAATGCATAAGCAACTTACATTCATGTTCTTTGGGCAGTCTGAATTTCCGCAGTAAAACCTTGGAATGATAAATATTCTTCTTCAAAGTCAAATATTTCAAATTAATCAATATTTAAAAGGTGTTCTAACAAAAAAGCCATGTCACAATTTTAAAGTACACTAAAAAAGTATTTAAATTATTTTATTTAATTTATATCAGGCAGTCTAATTAAAAAGAAAAGGACACTAAGAATCTAACTGTCAATATTTTTACAGTTTCATACTTTTTATTATGCACACAATTTGGTCAGTGTCCAAGACCCAATCCCAGTAATTAAGTCCTGCAAAAATGTTGATTTTTTTCCAATAACAATAAAAAAGTAGCCTTGGGAAATATCTGGATAAAAACTCCTTTGAGTGTCAATCTTTTTCTGTGTTACTGATACCAGCACATGTGTTTGCATGGCTCCTGCTCCTTGGTGATCTCCGGGCAAGTGCATGAATGTGGGTCACCCAAGCACACCTGAACAGCATGTACAAGAGAACATGCTGGAGTAAAGACACAAAACATTTGGGGGGGATTTTGAGCAACATGTGTCCTGAAATGATTGACCTTGAAGTTCCTGCCCCCCGGTCCTCTCTGAGCAGAAATGCTGTTGGGCCGAAGGATTTCAGGAGAAATATAGTTGTGTTGAGGGCTTGGTCTTGGTGGAAACTCACTGCATCACTGACCACGGTCCTCCAGGCAGTTTTCCTGAACATCCTGTCAACATGTTTATCTACCCTGTAATTATAAAAAATGAGGGTAACTGAAATTGCTGGGAGGTTAAGGTTTCAGTCTTGGCTTATATATATATATATATATATATATATATATATATACACACACACATCTTAAAATCTGTTTCACGAATCAGTTTCTCTTTATCTTCATCCCCACCTTACATTTATATAAAGTCGCTCAAAAAAATACTACATAAAAAGACCTTCCTCAACGGTGGAGCAACTTTACAGGCAAAGGTATAACGTTACTTGAACTGAAAAATACGTTCTCACCTCCTTTTATACCTGGATAGACTTAGCATTTGCTAAGCAAATGCAAACAGCAGGTAGTTTGATCAGGTTGCTAGTTAAATGTTCACGACTTGTCTGACTAACGTTAACGTTAAGTTAATTGAACACTGAAACTTAAATTACTGTAACCTGGAAATTGCTCGGAATTCCTTGTGTATTCAGAAAAAAATACGTTTTCTTCTCCGCTATCATAAAGCCACATGATATCCCATTTTAAAACATCAAAAAGATAAAACGGTTAGCTTGAGTGTGATAACGTTTTCGTTGCTCTCTTAACGCAAAGTTAACGTTAACTTAATACCTAGCTTGCACCTTGTCACGACTTCCGGTTAATGCATTCTAATGACATCTCAGTATCTACTGGGATCCGTTAAAACAAACAGTAACTCTCTTTCAGTGTAATAAACGTACCACTCGTACACTTTTCAAAAAGTAACGTTACCTGTATTTGTTGATAAAGTCCTAAAGACCAGCCGTCACTTTGTTAACTACTCTGCGGAGCAAGACTCAGTGGACGCCGTAACCACGGTAACCTGACGGTTGTCCTGCAGAGGGCGCCATTGCAAAAGAATTAAAACCCTCTGATTGGTCCGTTTCCTGCTGCCCCAAAGTAATATTGTTCACGGCCTCTTTTATTGCCATGTTAATGAATGTTAACAGTAGTAGGCCTATTTGCAGTAGTATTAGTATAACAGCCATAGATTTCTTTTACAAGAATCACAGATAAACAAGCAAGACCTGAGACAATAAGTGATATCAGCTATAGCAAATTGAATATGTTGTTAATGATTTACAGAGCTCAGACTAAAGATCAACAACCAGGATATTAAAGTTTACTTTTCACCATATGTTATATATTATAGCCGACATAAAATGATACATTTTAATTGTTATCAATCATATCAGCGCCTTACAAATAATGTCAGTTCCACTGTAGGGATGTCCCTCTGTCTGCCTACACAAAAAGCAGGCATGTGATGTCATCCACAGTCCCAGTCAGTTTTTATCAGGACAGCTCAGTGTCGCCTCTGACTCTGGTGTGAAACACTCACACTGAAGGACTATTCCTGACAGAAATCACAAAAAACAGCGTCTTTTCCTGCAGAAGTAAAGGATTACTCTTCAAGATCAGGCAAACACTGTGTTTCATTATTTGTCGGCTCCTGCAAAGGTAAGTTTCTTTAATACCGAGAGTGTCAGCATGTGGACTGTGATTACTGTTCAAGGACTGGTTATGGTGCAGAAAACAGGCCAAATGTTTATTTTTGAATATCACATTGATCTAGAAATGTTATACTTCAGACTGTATGTGGTACAGTTTTCTAACAGTGGTAGAGAAACAAAACCATAGGTTAAAATACCCTTAACTTTGCTGTTGGCAGGAGAAAACATCTGTTTACCTTCCAATAAATTTATTGAGTTTTATTCAAAAAAGAGTAGCCTAATATTTTTTTCCAGGGGTGGAAATCCTGATTTCCTAGATACAAACCTGTCTCTATACATGAGCATTAAACAGTGAGCATATTCATAACACAAAACACTTGAGTAGAGATTATAGAAGGCTACACACGTATGCAATGTTACCCATGTTGAAACACTATATGTTTAGGTCTCCAGGTTCCAGATCCCTGGTCAAATATTAACTGATTTCTTTAAAGCAAAATAATGTATCCCATAGAATGAATACGCTCAACCAACCTCCAATTCTGTCACACCTAACAATGAAAATCTGCTTACATTGTGGACGTGGAAGTGGTGAAATAGGATTTCCTGGACAAATGTGTTTCTAATAAAGGCAACTTCACACGGTAGTGTGTAAATCCTCTGTTTGTGGTACAGATGGCCCACGCAGTAAGGGAGTAACTTCACCTTGAGCTATTAAGTGGCCATTAGAGAGATGTACTGTGTGTCTTTGGATGTTTTCAAGAAGATATTAATCTTATAAACTGACAAAGATTTCCTCAATTAGTAGTCATGGGAGTTCAAAATTATTAAAGTGTTTTGGTCTGTATCATTATATAATAAACTGTTTTTAGAAATTTTGGGAAAGTATCAGACTATCATACTGAGCATGACTGAGATGACCTTGTGACTTACAGTGAATTGTTAGATTACAAAATGATAATGCTGCATCAGAAATGACACCACTGAACTTTAAATAAATTTTAAGGAAATGTGGGGGTGATTTTAAACTGTAGCAATGTAGTGATAGAGATACAATCACAATCGCTTCTCCATGAACTCTGAAAACACTCACAGCTACAGAGGAAATTACTCATTTAGACTCATCAGAGACTGCGAAGAAAATAAGATCTAACCACTGTCATATTATTATTAAACTAAATATGTTAAATATGTTAAACTAATTTGCAAATGTTAAACATATCCATAAATGTCTGCCTCTTTGTCAAAACCTCCTTTGGATGGATTAGAACTCATGATTGGGATCATTTGAACCTCAAGTTTGTGGTCATGATCAGGTCATTTTCATTAGGTTTTTATGCCATTTTATTATTTATTTTTTGGTTGTATTTTGTTCTGTTTTGTAGTGTTTTCTTGTTGATTTGTATGAAGCCCATAGGGGCGGGTGTTGCAAAGCTTAGGCTATGTCTGGGATTTTCAGAGTCTGAGACATGTGGGCATCCATCAGACAAAACTTGGAAAAAGACACCCCCTCACCTTAGTTTACTTGCTAAGTTTTGCTAAATTCCTTGATGCTTTTGGGATCATGATTATGTTATTTGTAATAACAGACACTCTACAATTTAGCCAAGATAGTCTAATATTACTGTTAGACATAACTTCAGACTATACTAAAATTCCCCTAAACTACTATCTCTTAAACCAAATCACACATTTAGTCTCTTCTATGTGCTCTCTTTTTGATAACTAATGTAATAACTTTTCACTTTCATTTACTGAGCCTTCCCTGAGACAGTTTGGAGCCCACCTGGGAAGGCCCACATCCCACTTTGAAAACCCCTGGGCTATGTGATATAAGTCCATGATACACTCTTTTAGCTATGATAAATTACTTAGATAAATATTATATTTGAATTTAAAAAAGTTGTGCCACTCCTGAGACTGTCACTCATAACAAATAAAACATCCAGTCTCTGTTACCATTAGAAACCATCATTTGCTCCTCATACATATTTATTCACTTTAAACAAATCATAATATATTGCTACTTATATCTTTATATTGACTGGATTGTGAAACTTTCCAACAGGGTGTATTTGTTTTTGTACAATAAAGCTATGAGGCAATTGCACTTTTTAATAACAGTGGTTGGCTCAACAGTGTGTAGCTCTTCACTAATCAGTAATCTGTGCAGGAAATACGTGAGCTAAAATACAGTGGAATTCAAACAGTATCAGTGACTGTATGATATAACCTGTCTACGATGGCTGGAAAAAATGGCGCTTCATCGCAAAATATTTTTAATTTCTGCTAATCTATTCTGGCTGGGTTACTTTGATAGAACTGAACTATCATGTTTGGAAATGTGCAGTTTTCCACTCTATTCATTATGTTTTCCATCTTATATGTCTTATTGAAATGTTGCATACGCTGGTGTATGCTTATTTTGCACACCCTGCACATGAAGCATTTAATTAGCTGATGAAAGCACCCGCATAATGTATGTACGCGAGTTTGCAGCACGTGCTCTTACTGCGTTTACCATATTGATGTGTTTTTGCCAAACCTTGGTTAAGATTGCTCAACAAGCATAATAAGCATGCAGGAAGGAAGCAGCGGGGATTGGAGGAAGCAAAAGGCCAAATCTGTAACCCTAACGTCCAAAAAGGGGAGACCTGCCATTACAAATTAAAAACATGGGTTTGGAGACAGAGCTGCAATGTTTTGTTTACATTACTTTTGATCAGGGCAAAGGTTAGGGAAGTGGACATTGTTTGACAAAACTGCAATGTTTAGAGTAGCCTAAAAGTTGCCTGAAACAAAAATGTTTATGGAAACTTAAACTGTAAAAATATAAAATGAAGATTGTAGAGTTCTGATGTTAGAATAGAAAATTAACTACAATTTTGATATTTAAACATGTAAAAAGAATAATAACAAATATGCCGGATTCATTTTAAAATCTTGATTATACAGTATGGGGGTGACAGCACAGAGCACGTGAACTGGAGTTTAGATCCAACTCCTGTCAACACATCGTGTGGATCACGTTAACAGCTGCTGCAACTCAGGAAGCACTTTTCTTATTGAGCTCTGGGGGAAACTATTTTGGATAGTGCTGAAATTTTTACCTGTTCCTTTGAATCACATAAAAATAACTTCCAGTGAAGCAGAAATAGGAGTGAACTTGAGCTGTACTGTACTTGTGTAAGGCTATATATATATATGAGTCAAAAAGCATCCATTCTGTTTCCGTTGTCCAAGTGTCTTTTGTTGTCTTCAACAGAAACAGATAACTAAGTCTTAATATGTTTTCCTTTTCCCAGTTATAAACTGTTGTCAACTTTCCTCAGAACACCTCTGATGATCAGAACACAGATGGATCTAAATGGCTTCATGTTTCTCCTGGTCCTGTGCACCCTCAATAAGGTATCTGAACTGTGCAGTTGTTTGCCTGGAATATGCTGTTAATAGCTAAATATGTCCCTTCCCCAAGACTCAAGACCAATGACTTGTTTTTTGTTGCTTCATATTTGATATTTAGATTATCCCTTCAGTTCCATGTTTAAAAGTTGAAAATGATCACAACTGTTGCTACAGAGTGTTAATATTAACAAGAAAAGGTTTCTATTGAGCATTTCTTAATAATTTGCAACTTTGGTCAACTAAAGATAATTACGGGGAAAAAAGGAATGATACAGGTATTAGTTATTTTATATGTAAGGTAAGGGTGGGGATGGCGCAATGGATAAGACACATGCCTATGGTGTGCGAGACCCAGGTTCAATGCTCCACTGTTACCCATCCACCATTGTGTCCCTGAGCAAGACACTTAACTCCTAGTTGCTCCAGAGGCGTGTGACCTCTGACACATATAGCATTTGTAAGTCGCTTTGGATAAAAGTGTCAGATAAATGTAAATATATATTTTTAGGTGTGTCCTGTATTTTGGCTACATTAGATCAGAGAAGACCGCAGTGCTAAATCTGTGTATGATCTTCTGGTTTTAGAATATTAATAACCAAAACAAGATTTCTACGATACTTACAAGCTCTATGCTTCACAAAGCAGCACTTAGTCCCTTCCTGTCATTTCAAACTCTTTGCTTGATCAGCAGAATACTCTGATCGTCCGGATGCAGCCCTTAAAGTGATACTCCAGTGATTTAATACATTTTTAAAAAGAGTGGTCAAAATTGAAGCAGCAGAGGCTGATATATGCAAACTTTCTGACATGGGTCAAACTTGATCCTACACTAGTGCAACTTGAGAGACTCTTGTTATGCTGCCTCAGTTTTAGCTTTGCCTTGTCACAATTGCTATTGATGTGCTAAAGATGTACTCTAGATGTATGATATCACGTATTTTATCTGCTTAAATTCTTGTATGTTAGAGCATGCTTGACAGTTGAAGTCTCATTTTGGATGTTTGTGTGTCGTTGCGTGTGTGTGTGTTTACGTGCTGAATTTCAATAATCTCAGCTGCTTGTGGTGGCAAGCTCAAAAGATGATTACCAGGAGCGTCTGAATCACCAAAATGAACATCAGTCGACACGACACCAAATCGCCACAGCCCAATACGAATGTTTCCAGCGCATTGTGAAAGAATCACACCGCAAAACAAAAACAATAGGTGAGTTGATGATCTCAAAAAGTTTTTGGATTGTATTGCAATCTAATACAGTATATCACTATATAATACTGTGTGTACTTGGATGTTAGCAGGGCCACTGTGTAACACCACATGGGATGGGTGGCTGTGCTGGGATGCAGCTGAAGTTGGGCTAACCGAGCAAAGCTGTCCAGACTACTATAAAGATTTTGACCCTCATGGTAAAGTTCTTTGCCATCAATGATTTCTGTCAATTCCGAAACAATAATATTTACTAACTTCATTAACTTTTAATATTGTGTAATTATGAGTTGAGACTGTCAAACTGGCAGTACGTTTTTAGATTTACCAACTTAAATCATATATCTGCAGTGATTACGTTTTTAAGTGCAGTTTCTGTTTTTAAAGCTTAGTTTCTAGTCTTTAGCAACAAGCTATTTGGCTAGCTTTCTGATTATGGATGAGACAATGTGACCTTAGTTGTTCCCTTTCTTCCCGAGAGTTAGACGTGAAGACACCACTCCAATGTCTGTACGTGACGTGGTCAGGACTTGGTTAGCAAAGACTAGCATAAAAACTAGAGGAAGGGGGATACAGCTAGACTGGTTTCAGTTTAAAATTACATTTAACAACACCTCTTAAGTTCACTAATTAGTGAGCTGTAGCTCATTTTTTTAAATCTGTACACAGAAATGTAAAAAATTGTATAAATGTAAAAAACAAAAAAACAATGCAAAATTGTTATATCAGGGAGGGCTACATGTTGCCAGGCTAGCCTCTTAGCTCTGATATTTTAGGCTAGGCTACCCCAGCTCAGTATTAACACACAGACATGACAGAGGTATCTATCCACATATAAATGAATTACATTGCATTCAAGCCCTTGCTACACACAATGCTGATCAAGCCTAATTAGATAAGGTAAATATCTGTATTTTGCAGTATACCAGAGCTTTTAAATCTGGTGTCTGTGGTGAGCCAGTAGTGATGTGTTTTTACTTTACATCTGCTGCTTTATCTCAAAATTTGTGAACAGCGATGGCATCCAAAGTCTGCACAGAGACGGGCGAGTGGGGGCGCCACCCAGAGAGCAACAGGACATGGACAAACTTCACAAACTGCAAAGCCAACACCACACATCATGGGACAGTAAGGAGGAATAAAGAGAAAAAGGCACTATGTGAAGCAGCTTTGACTGTGAAGTTATATTCATTTTGTTTTCTTGCAGGCGGCAATGACTCACTTCTACTTGGTTATGATTGGTCATGGCCTGTCACTGGTATCATTGCTCATATCATTAGGAATATTCTTCCATTTTAAGTAAGTGTGGTTTCCTTTTTTTATTTTTAAATGTACAAAAACCTTGTGTGGAAAAAAAGCTGTATAAAGAAAACAAATGAACACAATATGTGCAGGTAGGCTTTTAAAGTTTTATCAGGGTGAAAAATGACGAGTATTTTGTGGTGTGTTTTAATGAAACTTTCTGATCAATGTCATACACATAGCAAATGTGTATTAACTTAAACTTAATATTTATAACTTAATATGTGATGACTTAGTAGAAAATAAGAAATCTAAATAACAGATAACAGACTAACAGATGGTTTATTAGCAAATGAGAACTACTTCATTAAAAAAGGTGTTTCTGACTGTTTAATAAGCCACAACAGGGTTGCTGCTGTTATGAATGTTAGTAAATCATTAATAAAGTCTTACTCCACAACAATAATCCATAAAGTCTGGAGTTATAAATGTTTAATATCTTGTCAATGAATTGGATTTTGGTCCAGATACTCACCATTTGAAAATAAAATTACATTAGCTAGTCGATTGGATTTCATGGCAAATCCGTCAGGAAATATGACTAATGTGTGTCTCCTCTTCGCTGCCCTCAGGAGTTTGAGCTGTCAGAGGATAACACTCCACAAAAACCTCTTCCTCTCATTCGTGCTAAACTCAGTCGTCACCATCGTGTGGCTCACAACAGTGGTAAAGAAACAGGGACACACGTACAACGATTCTGTGAGTGATTTGACTTTATCGATCTATTTTTCCAGATATTACTACTACTACTACTACTACTACATTTATGTTTTCAGTAAAGACTTGACACTTGCATTACTTCCTTCTAGGCAAGCTGTAAGCTGCTCATGTTCATCCACCTGTATCTACTGAGCTGTAACTACTTCTGGATGCTTTGCGAGGGCATCTACCTGCACACTCTGATTGTTGTGGCAGTGTTTGCAGAAAAACAGCATCTCATGTGGTATTATCTGCTGGGGTGGGGTAAGTGAGGATTTATGTAAATACTTCATTATGCGCATTAGACTGTCCTACACTCAAATCTCATGAATATTCACGTTTCATTTTGCAGGTTTTCCACTCGTGCCGGCGGTGATACATTCAATAGCACGCCACTGCTACTACAACGACAAGTAAGTCTTTTTGATCATCACACCCACACGTTCTAAAGATGTCATTGTACTTAAGTTTTGTGTTTCCATGTTGCATAATATAATGATCTGATGCCTTCACAGATGTTGGGTCAGCTCAGATACTTCCTTGCTGTACATTATCCATGGCCCCATCTGTGCAGCTTTGGTGGTAAGCATTGAACCCCTGATGGGAAATCCAGATTTATAGCCTCAATGGACCACAGTACATGATGTGTTTTGGGCTAAAAAATCCCAATTATAAATAAATTTGTATAGTCAAATTTTCTATTGTGCTGGATCTACACTGCAACACAGTTGGATTCACGATAAAAGAACTCTGCTTTAATTTGATGATGTTTACATCCACACCAGATACACAGAGTAACAGTGTAAGCTTTTCATTCATCCTGTATACATTAAGGCGAGACACCACAGTCAAATAGGCTTTTTTCCCAACTTCACAATGAAACTTTACAAGTGAAAAGTGTACATAAATAGAATGTTTTTTTAAGCAAATGAGGTATTTCCTCATTAAATATACACTGATTTGCATTTACACAAATCCATTTTCCAGCACATTGATAAGAGTCAGATGAATTGTTTTGGTTTAATTGTGATAATAATAATGTAATACCAAATGTATATTCATCAAAATATTGTTTTTTTATGGATTTATTTAAAATATACCACTCATGTGTGATGGATCCCTTTTTCCCCACATATACATACAATACCATATAAAATGAGAATGATAAAAGCTATTTAAGAAAAAATATGTAAATGTCTTATGCTATCTGACCTAAGAAACGGTGTAAAATAATGATAATCTAACTGCCTTGAAGGTTTTATCACATGAGCACATCTCTTATAGAAATATGAAATATGGACTGTGGTGCCTCGCTTTAAGTGCTTTTACAAGTTAACATATGTTTAAATTAAGTCATTATATATAAAATGTGGCTGAAAATCCTTTAGAGTCAGTTGTTGTCTGCAGAACCTTGGTGTCTTCCAGGTGTGGACTGGAGTCACATAACATAAACTAAGTACATTTACTCAAGTATTGTACTTAGGTGCATTTTTAAAGCACTTGAGTTGAGTATTTCCATTTTATGCATTTTGGAAGCCAGTAATGTACTTTTTACTCCACTACACTTATTTAGAATACATCATACATCAGTTACTAGTTATTTTGTAGATTCAGATTTTTAATACTAATAAACATGACATGGGACTTTACAGGCAAGACTGGAGACTTCTTCACTTCTTGCTTGTTTTGGGAGATTTTGCCTTCAGTCTGGTCATCAGGAAAGTGTCATGACGTGACTTGGGCAGTCAAACAAATATACTTTCTTTTCTTTTTTTTTTGGTCTTTTTTCTTCCTTTCACTAAATTCTCGTTGGAGCTTTATTAAAAGCAGATTGACCTTTATGTGTGTCAAAACTAATAATCTGGTTAGTTGTACAGTAGTTGGCATGTGTAAATATGTATTTTCTAACAAATGTGGTTGAAATAACGGCATTTTCTATGCCTTTGCATCAATCGTAATGCCTTTTTGACTCCAGGTGAATCTATTCTTCCTGCTGAACATCGTTCGGGTTCTCATCACGAAGCTGAGGGTGACGCACCAGGCCGAGTCCAGCCTCTACATGAGGGCTGTGAGAGCCACCCTCATCCTCATCCCTCTGCTTGGCATCCAGTTTGTCCTGCTCCCCTACAAGCCCCAGGATCACTGGGTCTTTGAGATCTACATGTACATCATGGAAATCCTCATGCACTACCAGGTCAGTACACACGCATGAGGAGCACTTTATCCAACACTACCTATAAAAAATAGTTCCACTGCAAAAAACATTGTCAAACAATAATCTTTTACTCAATAAAAATCATGCTGTTAAAAGCTATACTGTAGGTAAATACTGCAAAACTGTCAAATGGTAATATCCACGATCATTTTACTATTGTGGAAACTTGCAGCTCCTTGTATAGCTGTTTGAGATTAAATGATTTCCTATTTTGTGTATTTTGTCAAGAAACTGTTTTCTTCCACATGCAGGGTCTCCTGGTTTCTACAATATTCTGCTTCTTCAACGGGGAAGTGAGTAATGAGCTTGATTACTGCATTATCTCATATTTCAAGGTTAGATTTGCAAACAGCTTTAGGTGTGAGAGTCAGAGTCGAGGCATGCGTAGTACATTTGGAGAAAACACATCAAACCCATTGGCTTCTCATCCCAATTAAACTGCAACATGCTAAATTAGATTTTTTTTTTTCTTCAGCGTTGCACTTCATTTAGTTTACGTCAAGGGACACTTTTGAGAATTTACATTAAAGTTCTCCACGGGCCTAAAACTGAGACCCAGACCTGGCCAGTACTCAGGTATTTAGGACTAGATGCAACTGAACCTGTCTGTAACTGGAAAATCTGTGACCTGAATCTACCCAAACCCAGGCTAATGCAGCATATTGCCTCTCTTGCTCTTTCCACTGGAAATTATCTGCTTGCGATTTGCATGTTCATAGACAACTGGCACAGTCACACAAACAATTTAAATGTTGTGGAGGCATTTTCTATGCTACATACACCCTCACATTTCGTAATGCCGATATTGTGAGACAGCTTATCACCTCGATGAGAAATATCATCACCTTTTAATATCACAAGGTCTCGTGGCATCTTGTCACACCCCTAAATAACCCAACCAAGACCTTCCCCTACCCTGAAGCTTCCACTACAAAACAATCCAACCTAGTCCTGACAAAGTATCAGGTTAGGTAGCTCACAGGGCTGTTGATGGCCACAACACTTGTTGTTCCCACTTGTAACTTGGTCACAAGTGGACACCTTGAATGCACCAATAAATGCATTGTGCCAGCTGCTTTGATGCAACTGTAGGCTAGTAGTGTGAAGAATGCTTTCCCATGGAAAGACTATATTGTTAGATTTGCAGTTACATCATTCCAAGATGATTCTCAAGCTGATTTGCCTCAGTCAATCCACAGTCCTCTTTTCTCGCTGTAAAGCCAAGCATAGGTATAGCCTTCTTTTTCTTTTCATGCCATCCTCTTTACATCCTCTTTGGGTGTTTCTCTGCAGGTCCAGAGCGTTCTGCGGAGACACTGGAATCAGCAGCGGATGCAGATCGCAGGCACAATCGCCAACGCTGAATTCTTCCGCTCAGCCTCATATGTGGCGTCATCACTCACAGAGGTCCACCGTTGCTACAGCATCGAAAGCCACACCGAGCACAACGGCAAGAGCTATTCAGACATATTCAGATCAGACAGCTCTTTCATATGAAGGTGGCCCTCAACAATTGGCACTTGAGGTTCCGAGTTCACTGTTTTTTTGACTTTTCCCAAGATGTTATGACGACTGGTGTCAATGTTTTCTTGGAGTTATGCTACTGTTCATGGCAGTGCAACCTTTTCTTCTCCTTTGATGTTTTTTCCATCCTATTTTCCTTTTTTGACTTTTTCTCCCAAATACAGAATTACCAAAAGAGAAGGAGAAACTGCTTCTTCGTTATTATTTACATCGCTCAAATATTCAAAGGGGCTCTGACCGGACATAAGGAAGACCCCATGAATCAACCTGCCTCACTGTAAAGCATTACCACAAGGAATTAATGCTTTTAAGCATCGTGTGGAATAATGTGAAGAGCCCTCAGTGCCCTCACTCATTCAACACAAAGCTGTTCTGACTGCCGACTGTTACGATCATGTCAAGAGAGAAGATTTTTTCTGGGAATGTTGCAGATATTGATGTCATTTAAAAATAGGTAGCTACTGGTGAGGGTGAAAGGAAAAGCAGGGAAAGCCTGTTTAATCGCTTCTTCTGAATCTCACAAATACATTTAGCTTTTATTGGTAGGCCCCTTACTCTGTGGCAGAAGGTATTTGCAGTTAGAAATAATCTCATTGGCTAATTCAAACATCAATGGACAGAGCCAGAGCAATAGTTGATGGGAATTGCTAGCTTTAATAGCAAAGAAGAAAGTGGTTAAAAGGTAGGCAGTTAGCCTCTCTGCCAAAAGAGGCAGACTTTAGGCCTCCAAGAAAGTTTTTTTATTTTAAAGTACAACAATGGTTAGTGCCATACAGAACTAGCAATGTAAAGTGTACATTCCTGCTTTTCTATTCATGTATTATTTTCTTTTTTCTCCTTACAAATAACGAGGCTCATAATAAAATCTTGTCAGAAACAGAAGCTTACATTGTCTGATCAAGTCTGGCTTGGTGATAGCTTTAGTATATTTTAAGTTAATGTTCCATTAGGCAATTTTTTTGTATCAGATTATTCCAATTTAGCAGTGAGATCATTGTGAGATAGTCACAGATGAAAATATGACTGAAAACTGCTTCTATTACAAATGTACATATGTTTGATTGTATAAGAATATCACATATATTAAGTCAAAAAATATAAATTAGAACTGTGTTGTATTTAGACAGCCTTTAGTGTACTATATATATTTTCTAGGAACTACGAACACATCATTGTATATTACTTATGTTACATTTTTAAAAGTCCACAAACTGCAGCTTGTTAAATAATACTGTAAAGAGTGAAAATGTCATGTTAAATTTTTTTAGATGAAGTCTAGTAATTCAACAAATTCAGCAGGAACTGACTCATATTGATTCACTCATTTGACATTTTACATAATTATTATCACTATCACTATTGCTGTCATTAGCATCCAGTAATTCTACATGCATATATGTGTGAAGATAAAGTTTGTCACATCCGGTTAGAGATTAAAGGTAACTTTCCTGTCAAGAGAGCTGCTGGTTTCAGCCTTCCAAAATAGGAATTACAGATTAGTCTCTACATGCAGTACGATAACTCTCAACAAGCAATATTCCCCAAAATGTCTAACTGTTCCTTTAAAGGTGTTGCACAGAACCTTAAATGTTTATAATTAGGCTACTCTCAGTTGTGATCAGAATATTTCTGCTATTCATATAACAATATGTGTAGCCTGCTATAATAATTTACTGGGTGATTACATGATTTCTAACGTGTTTTGTATAAGTAAGTGTGTAAGTCTTGTATTTTGCTATTACAGAAACCCTAATCTCTGGTAGCTGGAAGTGCTTAATAGTGGGTACATAGTCAGATATTTATGTTACACTGGACATAGCTACATACTAGGAATGCCTTATTCGGGGAAGCACAAATAGCCTAATGCATTGGAAATGGATATTTCTTCTAACCAAAGTTGCTTGTTAGCTCAGGAACGTGATAAGCCATGTGACAATGGAACAAAAGAAAGCTGCAGCAGAGAAGAAGCTGCTGGTGTGTGTGTCTGTCTGCTCACCTGTCTGTCTGAAGCTGCTGGGAGGCAGAGCTCCAGAGTGTCTGGGAGATGCATGTATTCTCACCCTGGGCGGGCCTAGCAGTTTGTGAACATTAGCTACTAGCTACACCTTAATGTACTAAAATTGAGGGTGAAGTCATTATAGGTATTTTTTAGCATTATTTTACCTTGGCAAATTTAAAAAAGGTTGCAGCTAGCTTGACATTGTTGCTACACTGCCGAGGACCTTCTACCTTCAATGAGGCGTGTGAGGCCTTTCTGCTGTTTTTGTAACTTTGACTGTAGAGCCTCTTTCAGCGCAAACTGTTTGAAAGCTTTGAGGAGCACAGAGGGACAGAGAAGTGGACTGGTTATATTGGGACACGGAGGCTAAGTAGACTGGTTAAAGTAGGACAGACAGCTGAAAGCATTGGATATAATATGAACTGAGAATGTTCAAGCAAAGAAGTTGAACCAAGAGCACATATGAGGACCTTCAGACAGGTGAGTACAACCACTGTGTTACCTAGAATTGTGTGTGCTATCCCTTTTGCTTTGATATTTGTGTCTGTGGCTGCAGCTGCTGTGGGGTTTCTCTTTATTATACATCTATGTGTTGTCTGCTTTGGTGATGTTTTTATTCTGCTTAAAGTGGCAGTAATTTCACTTCTGTAGCCTAATAGTGTTTGATGCACCTGCTGCGATGTCCATAGGTCTTTTTATTTATTGTTGGTCATTTGTTTAACTGTCTGAATTTTGTCTCTTTTCAGGTTAATTGTATTGAGCTTATAGAGAGGAAGGCCATTGCACATTTATAATTGATAATCAGTGGCATGCACAGCTGCAAAATCTAGGTCTAAAGTCTATACAACTGGAATGTATTGTTGGTGTGGACATCAGCTGGGCTCAGTGGATTGATGGTTTTCCACTAGTGTTGTTTGATTGACTTTTAAATATACATTTAATGCAGATTATTCCCTTCAACTGAAGGATATTTTTCATTATATATTTACTGTAAATAGATTTTATTTCCAATGCAAAACAGAATCTTTTGATTTATAAAACCTGTTTTTCAGTATCTGATTGTTGAATGTCCCCCAGTTCAAGGTTTGGTGATGGTGGAGTTCATAAAACCTTATGTAGTTCATGAAGATAGATCATTTTAGATAGAGATAATATACAGCATCTCTGTGCACGTGTGAAAACAGTATGAAAGCAGTATGAAAGCTTGACATTTTGAAAAATACACTTATTTATGTTCTTGCTGAGAGTGAGGATAGAAGATACCACTGTCATGTTTGTAAGGAAAATATTAAGCTAATGCCACAGCTGGTTAGCTTAGCATAACATAAGGACCGGAAACAGGGGGAAACAGCTAGCTTTGTCCAAAGGCAACCAAAATCTTTTTACCAGAACCTCTTAAGCTCATAATTTAAGCTGTTTCCCCATAGTCTGTGTATAAAAAGTGTTTCCCATCATTCTACAGTCGTTATGCTAGGCGAAGCTAACCGGCTGCTGGCTGTGGTTTCATATCTACTGTATCAATCTTCTCATCTAATCTTCATCAACAAAGCAAAAATTTCTATTTCTCAGAAGAGAACTCAAAAGATGAGTCTAGCGAGTCTAGTTTGCAGACATCTTTGTATTGCTATTAACATGGGCTACATTGGCTACTAAAATATTCTAAACTCAAGGTTCACTTACTTGCTTTGTCTAAAACTTTCAACCATATTTGACTGCCTTCCTCAGCAAATGGAACTTGCTCAGGTGGTATATGGGAGAGGAGAGATCGTTACTTACTTCCATCTCTGACTATATCTCCGTTTACTGAAGAAGGTCATGGATACGGTCTAAAGCCCTGCAAAAAGCTAATAAGAAAACTTGAGTTTAGAATATTTCCCAATGTGAAGACAATACACTCATGTTAAAAAATGTATAAAACACATGTTGGAGCTGTTACACATGTTTTATCCATTCCAAGATAATTTTAGTCACTGTTTCAATCTCATTTTCATTTTTGTAACATGTTTTTTTTTCCATAAATCCAGAAAATGCTTGTTTATACTGAATTAATAATGCTGTAAATAAAAACAAGCTGTTTTAAACTGACGTCCAGAAAAAAAGAGTCATTGTATTTGTGTTTCTTTCCTTAATGTCTCTTTTGTCCTGTTTCATTCCGCTCAAAGACAAAAGAAAGAAAACATGTAAGTGTATTTTCTTTCCCACATATTTAATTGAGGGTGGGATTTCCTCGTCTGACCTTAGAAAATGTCTCCCACTGAAATGAATATTGTTTCCAGACAAAGCAGGGCGTGTTACTGTCTGTTCCTCGTCCAAAATATATATGTGACCAGGTATAATTAGGAAATCCCAAAGGAAAAGAGCTGTATCTAGTGCATCATTCATCAAAGTCAGAACGGAGAACCTGTAAAAGCTCTAACATGCCACTTTCAAGTGTTAAATATGTCCATCTTCAAACAGAACACATGATGATCAAAAACATGTGTGCGTTGTGCGTGACCGTTGATCATTGCAAGTAATTGTAATTTACGAGCTCTTGCACGCCTTTCACAGTCATGACTTCAATCCACAAAGGATTCTGGTATCCGCGGTTTTTGGACAGTGCATGGGGTATCGCAGTAATCATGAGACCGTCTCCTCCCACGTATGTGCAGAACACTAAACATCTGACATTTTCACAAATAAATCACACTTTTAACTTGCATCCTGTTATATCAGCATGAGAGCTGGCATCCTGTGTGGTTTCTGATGGCACACATTTTCCTTCAATATAGATAAAATCAACTTGTAGCAGAAAGATCTCAGTAAAGATGTTTTTGTTGTTTACCTATCACAACACCACCCGAAAAATCCCACCTCCCTTTATTTACCTCTGTCGAAATCAGACCTGTGGATGTATTGCAAGTTTCCTGTTTCTAAGAATATATTGCCATTGAACTCTTGATCCGTCGGTTCTTGTGTGCTGGTAGCAAACACTTCCTCTGCCTCATGACTAACACTTGTTTACTGCTTTAACTTCCGCATGCTTCCACTGAAACTTAAATCATTTAGCCGATGTTTTGCGTCCAGACGGGTTTCCAACATGCGTGTCGGTAACAGTTCTGTGTATGTGTCAAGGATATTTCCACAGGACATAACTCAATAGAGACATCATATGCCAGATTGCCACATGTGCTCCCCGAAACAGTGACAATACTGCAAATGCTTTTGCTGAAATTAAGCTGTAAAAACTAATCACATCAATCTGCTCCACATCGTCACGGCCACGTTAGGTCTTACTTTTACTGTTGTTGACGTACTAGTCATGAGTGATTCCCCCTGAGTGAGAAACACACAATTACAAATTTACGTAACACGCACTCACTCAATATTTCATGCGACATCAGTACATTCATGCAGACTTAACAAGAGTCATCATAGCAGGGACAAGGACACTGCTTTCATTTAGCAGGGAAGTTAATGATAGGTGCGATCTAAATTTAAGTTAAATTCTAATGGGTAGAACACCTGAAAATAAACTTACAGACTTTTACATACAGTCCTGCATTCAAAATATGACTTAAGTAATAATTACTGGCATAATTTGGCATTGTGAGCTTGTGGGCCATTTGAATGGATTTTCCCTGATGAAGAAGGAAACTTCCCTGTGAGTGTGAGCGCATCCTCGGAAAAATCTTTTGATGAACAAGACATGGCACACTTTACCTTACCAGCAACAGCAGACGGGTATGTTAGGAATGCAGTCAGTGTCCAGAATCAGTGATAATGGTATAGTCTCAACAGTTGATCAAAAACCCCAGCATTTGATACTTTGACAACGGAAAATTAAAGCAAGAAGATGCCATGTCAAGTGACATTGTTTGATGTACTAGTAATTGGGAAGTGCAATGAAGACACAAAAAAACAACAAAAAACTAAACATCTTTTACATCATAAGCTTTACAAACGCTTTTTTGATTAGACCCTCATCTGAAAATACTGAGGATTTTTTTCTCTTTTCAGGAAGAATGACTCAAGTTTAAAACAATATGCTGCATGGGGATTCCAGTAACTCCTCTTCATGAAAAACCCTAAGTGTTTGAAGCATTTTCTGGTTAAGCCACACTCACAAAACAACATTCTGCCATGCACTCTCACACACACGAACACATACCACATACACATCTGGCTCTTAGCTTGTTCTGGCCACTTGTGCATGGGGATGTCTCACTCTTGAGAACAATGGAATGAGTTCTTGGCTGTGCTCGAGGGTGTGGAGGGCGTACAGTACAGGGGTTGGGGTGAGCAATGTGGCCCGGCTGTATGGATGCGACCCGGGCCTGGGTGGGACCGCAGGAAGTCTGCTGCTCGCAGCCCGGCCCTTTCAGACCGCTGCAGGGTCATGAATTATCTGAGCAGCTCATCACAGAGTGATGTCAACACTTGGTTGTCTGGTAGCCTCGCTGCTTGGGCGTTTCTGGAGGGACGTCATGATCGAACGTGTGACTACATCATGTGGAGAGTTCATTTCCAGATTGCTAGCCAGGGTCGTAGCATTTGGGTTTTTTATGTCCTTTACAGCTGTGGGCCTCCATACATGTCATTATCTTTCACCCTAGCGGCAAGAAAAAACTGCCGAATTTCTATTATATCAGATATTTAAATATGTTTAAAATCTCAAGTTATAGCTGTGATAAAAATTTACCAATGAAGAGCAATTTAAGAGCGACATTTTTTATTTCAAAAGAACACAGCTGCTTCTTAACTGCTCTAATGTTGATGACACTTAATCTCCACATAATGTGGTTTATTACATCTATGGGTTTAGCCATCATTTCTATTGGCACTAATGGGCGCACAAGTAATTGCTGAGATCTGGGAACACGATGTTGTAAGCATGTGGTCTGGCAAGACAAGAAACATGAGAGGCCAGATAGTCAGATTTTAGAATTTATCTAAAACCACTTTATTAAGAGAAAATTTTGTATTGTAATTTATTTGAAATCCCTCATTGCACCAAAACTACAGCAGGTAGCTACTGTAGGTCAAAGCTGAACCGGGAATCTGGTCCTTAAGTTGTGATGGATGTTTAGAATTTGGGTAATAATTTTATCATTAATGTTTGCTTTCTTTTTCAAATAAGTTTGTCTACCTAGGGGTTTGTTTACAACGTTAAAATTGTCTGACAGCTTGTGTTTCTTGCCCCGTTTGACTTGTTTGAACTCTGTTGGGGACCAAAAAAAAATTAGGCCAATAGCCTACTGTTGGCGGTGGTTCATTTGTAATAAGTGAGTGTGAACACAAAATGGACCAGAACTAAAAGGAAATGGTTTATTTTTCCTTCAACTCAACCAACTGAACTGACCTTTTGGTGTAAAAGTGACCTTACTAGTTGGTGTGATTATTTGCTTTGCAAGCAATTTTGTTTGATCTTCATTTTAGAGTCTAACAGCAGGACTTCTAAGACTCTCTTCAAATGTCCGACATTTGGAATCAAACTCTACAAAACATCTCAAACAATAAGTTTTAAAGAGCTCAGTTCCTACTACTCAGGGCAGCGCGCCAGTATCCACTTGTAGGAGGCGCGACGCAGCTCTCGTCTTCAGCATCGTCAGCCAACAGGAACTCCCTCGCTCCTCTCCTAGTTTCCTGCCATTGTTCTCCTCGCTGCCACCAGGCACAGGCTCCTCCCAGGATCGGGTAAAGGTGGGATGTCCATTTCCCTTTCGATCAGCTTCAACTTTAGCTGTGGAGGAGGGGTGTGTGGAAGAGAGAGTGTGTGTGTGTGTGTGTGTGTGTGTGTGTGTGTGTGTGACTGAGAGGGAGCACCCATCTGGAGAACAGCTTTTATGTGCAACTGAGTTTTCTGTATGTCAGTATTCACTCGATTTCACTTTTTGATATCAGCCAGTCACAATAGAAATTTCTTTTGAAAATCACACACAGTAGTAATGAATAAATGTAATCTAATTTACTCCACAAAGTTTACAATGCTTTAAATAATTTTGATCTTTTAAAAAAATATGTTTAATCTAATCCGAATCTGATCCAATTCAGAACTGCATCAGAAAACTATTTGTGACAAATTATTTACAGACTGCTAAAAGCCCACTAGCCATGCTAGCTCCTGCAATTTAGTTCACAATACCTGCACATAATACTTGTTTATTCCAGCATCCTTTGCACTGTGCTCCATCGCACTGTGTACATGTATACATGTATGCATGTATGTGTATGTGTACTTGTATATCACATCCACCTCCGACTGTAGCCTGTGTTTTATTTTATTATTGTATTATTGTATGAGTACGCACATCGTGGGCAATGTACAATCCAGAGTCAAATTCCTTGTTATGTGTACACATACCTGGCAAATAAATTCTGATTCTGATTCTGATTCTGACAACCCACCCATGCTATTTCATAAAGTCTAGTTCACACACCAGCATTAAATCGGCCAAAGCAGCGAAATCAGTTTAGTCCAATAAAACTGCTCCTTCACTCACAGACTCAAACAAATTCTTCGAAATGAGTGACATTTTGGCACGCATATTTGCATTGTTGACCAACAGCAATATGTCTTGACAATGCTGACCTTTGATGGAGAGTCCAAAAAAAGGGATTTTACCTTATTAGTTTTGTTGCATCATTCACTTTTATTTAAAAGTTCAGTGTGTAAGTTTTAGTGGCATCTAGTGGTGAGGGTTGTGAATTGCAACCAGTGGCTCACTGTGCATTCACATGCTCCTCGGATGGTCCCATTTCCTGAACTGTGATATACATAACTACAAAGATGTGTTGGATCGCCATCATCAGAGCTTATAAACAACACACAGACATCTATAATATCTTATATCAATTTAACTTCAAAATCCATCAACAAAAAGGCTGTGAAAACTTTCAACATATGGCCGCCTTTTAATATATTTATATAATATAGACTACCTCTGGCAAAGTTTTTTATTATTTGTGTCTTCTTGTATATTTGTATACTGTTCTGTATACTTCTTTATGTCCCTGTACACTTAATCCATCATTTTGCAATAAAGATTTAAGGAGAAAAAAAGATTCCGATTAGTCCGACACCAGATGAATGCTCAACCTTGCCTTTTCAAGCGAGTAGGAGAAGCTACAGTGGCTGATACTGTTGGCTCATTTGCTAAACAATACGTGTGGTCCACATTTCACTTCTCTTCTTACTTCTAATAAACCAAATGACTACTGCTACTCCTACAACCACTTCTTCTTCTTGTAGTGATAAAACGCGCTCTGTAGAGCAGTTTGTCTGTTTGGGCTACTGTACTGACCCGCGGTGTATGTAGATAGAAATGGCTCATTCTAAGGTAATTTAAACATAATCGTTCATTATGTAAGGTCTTTATACACCACTGAAAACTTAGCTGTGTATATGACATTGCATTTCTGTCAAAAGATCCTTCTAAACACACTGAACCTTTAACTTCCTGTGTAGAGTAGGAGGAGTATTACATGTGGTGGAGATTAGAGGTGATACAAACATATCATTTGAATACACTATGTGAATTTATTGAGCTAACTCTGAGAGCTTTTATCCCCCCTCAAAAACTTTTTATTGAAATAAATGGTGTATAATCCTGAGAACAAAATGACAGGGGGGACTGACTAGTGCCTAGTGTGTTAGCCGTTAGCTTGCCAAATACAGTAGTTTACCAACAAGCCCTAGCCACCACGTCGCCTCGCTTGTAGTACCAAATATTTTTCTTTTGTTGCTCTATTCTGCAAATGAGAGAAGCATAAGAGAAAATGTACTGGCTGCATGCATCAGGTGACAAGAAAAGTGAAAGAGTGTTAGAATTAGCAGGCACACACCAGATTCACTTAATTCAAGTAATTCCATATTTAATTTGAGAAAATGTTCAAAATGCCCAATATAGAAATTAACTGAAAATCATTTAGGACAATAGTTTGAGCCTTTCTCATGATCCTTTCCCAAGCGTTCTGTTTTAGAGGGGTGTCAGTAAGGTGGGGTTGGAGGGTCCACAGGAAGGAAAAGGAGTAGCTGGGAAATCTCATCGAGGCTCCTCGGTGAACAAGAGACACCCCAGCCAGGATCTGGGCGTCGCTGCCAAGACATCTCAGGGTCGCAGACTCCAACGGTCCACGTTTGTGTGAAGCTGGCACCATTACAATGTGCGGGACACACTCGTTTTCATACAGGATTTGTCACGAAATACGTCAGGCTAACAGAGAAACTTTAAAGTATGCATGCATGCAAGTAGGACATGATAACAATCAGAGAGAGAGGATGTTTTAGCCTCAGGAAATGAGAAATTACGTCTTCCTCTTTGAAATGAGCAGGAGGCTAATTAAAGCTGAGCAGCTACATGCATGGATCAAATCACTTTTGTAAACCAGCATCCCCAGATATCCTTTTGTAATAATAACAATAACAATGTTAATGTGTGTAGCACTTTTTAGCCATGGCTCTGTCAATGGCAATGTCTGTCAGTCAGTTGGTCCATCACTTTGGTCCAGACTGAAACAAATAAGAAGTGGGATGTTGCTATGAAATGTGGTTCAGGCCTACCTGGTTCTCAGAGGATGGATTCTACAGACTTTGACATTTCTGGGTTCTAGTAAAATATCTCCACAATTGGCTCAGACGTCCATGCCCCCCTCGGGAGTCATTGTAATCACTTTGGTGACCCTGACATTTCATTAAGCTCCATAGTCAGGTCAACATTCTTTGGTTTATGACAACATATCTGCAAAAATAAGGACATTCCGATACTTTTTTAAAACAAATATTAGGATGCTAACATGCTAAGCAAAGATGGTGAACAGAGTAAACATTACACCTGCTTAGCATTAGCATGTTAGCATTGTCACTGTGAGCATGTCAGCATGCTGTGTTAGAATTTAAATCATAACCACTGTGCCTCAATCCAGCCTCACAGAGCTTCTAGAAATGCTGTGTACTCTTAAAATGCACAAAAGAAAAATAAAACTACCAGTGACTATAACATTAAAACAGGTTTAATATTAAATTTAGGATGGTAAGATACAATTATATTATATAACACACAAACTTATTAGAATTAGATGATACATGGGGACTTTTAATAAGTGCAGGTAGCCAGGGCCTTAACAGTGATATAATGAACCAATGTAACTAACAGTAACACTGAAATAACAGTAATATGGTTTCTGTTATTAGTGAGGAGTCTGGCTGGGACGTGCAGTACTAATTGTACACATCTGCCTTTTGTCCACATCTGGGATTCTGTGGGATTATTCTTCATTTATATGTGTTTGTGTCATTCACTTCCTGTGAATCAGCCAACAATGAAAATATTATTAAAATCATTTTAACTGGACTTGACTTTCAGGACAAAATTGCGTTAAAGGTACACTAAGGAATTCTGGGACTTAAAGGACTTCAATCTCAAACATAGTTTTGGTCTTTTGTGGCCTTCGATGTATAAATCACCTTCAGCAACATAAAAAAAGCTTTAACAGCTTGCTGTGATGGGAGGAAAATGGGCAGTGGAACTGTGATTTTCTGAACTGCGATGTTATGTAATTTTATGCTAGACTTGACACTCTTGTCCCCAACTGAGCAGCTTATAATATGCAAATGTAAATGTTTAGATTCCTTCCCCACCACTTTTATCTAAAACGTTCCATGCTCGTTATGAAAATAGCAGCCCTGGCTAAAAATGACCACCTCGACAGATGTGGAGCGAGCCCAGGCTGCAGGAAACGGTGAGAGTGTCACGTCTTTCACCGAGCGCAGAGGAGAGGTCGACCCAGAAACATATGCTGCCTGAACTTTGCCTCTTTTTCTTCCTGTAGGGACGCCTTCTCTCTCCCTCTCTGGCTCTTTTTTTTGCATCTCATTCGTTCACACATCCATACATGCTGAAGGAGAGGGGAAAGCATGCCACCAGGACACCTTTTCAGAACTGATATTAGGCTTCTGTGTTAGTTTTGAAAATCAGTAAAACAGTATGTTGGTGTATTTCAAGAAATAAGCACCAATGCAAAACAGATGGCTTAAAACCATGTCTGAAATGTGCATTGATGCTGCAGTTTGAACACAGGATTTACTGGTCTTCAACCCCCAGAGCCCTGCTGGTTTTTCATTTCAAAGTCCATCAGGTGAAAGCAGTTTACTGTGATTAGATGACATTAAGGTTAAAGCAATGTCTCCCCCTAGTGGTGAGATGGTTTAGTTTCAGTCATTTCTAAACTGATTTTAACTCATTTTCAAAGCAAACTTTTGCTGTTCATTTGGGGGAACTGAGCATTTATTAAACTTTTCTGGCATTGGTTTGTGTGAAGAGCACAGTCATTCCAAAGAAAGACATTTATTCCACATCCATAGTCAACAACAAACAAATAATTTGCAATTTACAGTCATATGTTGCATTTACAGGTGAAGTTTGAAGAGGAGATACAAAAGTTTTCTGTGGTGAGTAAATGAGTTCCTGCACAGAATGTAATAATTTAGGTTCAAGCATGATTTAAATTTTTTATTCCATTAAAATTAAGAACTACAGTCATTGCTATATCAACGCTTGCCCTATCCAGGCCTTCTGACTTGCATATACTGGGAAATAGCCAAATGAAAAGGTCTGAATGCTTTTATTCACTTTAAACCTTCAGTTATTGTGCAATAAGCTCTAAATCCACCCAAAAAGACACTACATCCCTTTAAGAAATAACATTACTGGCTGTTTTTCCAGTTTATGCAAGTTTACAATTCTTCTAAAACTTTGCTTTCTATTTTTATGTTTTTTTTCCACCCACATGCATTTCCCTGTAGAGTACTTGTGCTCTAGATTGTACATTTATTTATTGATGAATAAATTATGTCAGCATCCTAGTCACATGGCTCTCGTATGCTGGCAGACACAGCAAGTACACTGTACTTCAACAGCTTATGGGTGTGTGAATGGCAGCAATGAGACATCTAACCTTCATTGACTTGTACGCTCACAGAAAGAGGAGTCCATATACTATAATTTCTGGTGATGATGTTACTCCTCTAAAAAAGGCTAATTCTGTCCATCTTGCGTTGGAGATTTGTGTTTTATAAGAAGCACACAGGGCCGATGTCAAAGCCGAACTCCTGATCAGCCTTTCCAATGTCCACTGGCCCCAAGTCCAGAACGGGCAGCCTGACCGAAGTTTGAGTCCTGTACTCAATCACTGTCTTGCCCCACTCTCCGTTGGTTTTCTGAAGGAAAAGAAAGACAGATAAATCTATAAAAGTGTCTTCTAATTGCTTTTTGGCAAATCTAGGTACTCTGTTTATGACTTACCGAGCAGCCGTCCTCAATGACTGTGTATCGGAGGTTGTTGCCTTGCGCCCTCAGCTCCTGGCCATTGTAGCCTTTGAGGACCAGAGCTTTCTTCAGGTTGCTGCTCTTCTCATCTTTATAAGCCACACTGTTCCTGCAATGGTAGGTGATGTTCTGGTGTGACTCTTTGGACAAAAGCTGCAGCAGCTTCAACTGGACCACCACGGCGTTCGGCTGCTCCTCCTTATTTCCGTAGCGGAACTGAAATCAGATGTCAGTTTGACATAATTACATCCAGCGAATGACGGATTTCAATTCCAGGCTTCTAGATACTATTTTGTTTTACTAAAAATATCATGTTTGAAATGAAACAAACCCATTAATATGTTAAAGCTTCCACACAATGCATGCCTCTTGCTTTCTTACTCTAGTTCCACTGTTCATGTCTGCTCCAAACCAGATGGGTTTGTTGGCACTGGGACTGGATTTTGTCCACCAGGCTTTGCTGGGAATGTTGGCCGGATTGGCAGAGATGCAGGTTTCACCACTTTCCATATTACAGAAGACTTTGATGGCATCTTTTGTGCTTCCTTGATTTGGATCAATCCAGTACTCACCTGTATAGAAGGTAGAAGCAAAATGACTAAAAGGATCGACAGGTTTACATGTCGATTACTGGTCTAAAAATAACTGAAAATAGGGAAAAGTAGGACCCTCACCACTCTTTTTGTGAGGGTAGCACTGCTTGATGTCCTGGCAGGTCTTAGCTGGGTTCATCTTGCTGCCATCAGGACTGCGGAGGTTTTGCAAATGTCCGCTGAGGGTCTTCAGTGTGGCATGGACACCAGTTTCTGCACGCAGGGCAGCCTCGTTCTTATTGGGAAGGGCTTCATCTTTGTTAAACTCTGGAGGTGGAGGAGGATCAGCGGCCACATAGTCCTCGACGAATTCCTCAGCTTCTGGCACACCGCCGTTCCCATCATAATCGTAAGGGGGAGCAAAGAGGTCTGCTGGGGTGGGAGGCCCTGGGGGGCCTGGAGGGCCAGGCGGTCCAGGTTCACCTTGTGGACCCTGACAAAGAAATCAAATTGTTCAATATACCTTGCCACAAAAATATTTGTATTTCAGTGAGTTGTACTAATCTTGCAGTCACCGTATCTCAGGATAATACCAATAACATGTTTGTTTGAAATATAAAAAACTCAATTTAATCTTGTGTCACCTGTTCTCCGAGGTCCCCACCGGAACCTCTACTTCCAGGAGCACCCATTGGTCCAGGCTGGCCGATGTTTCCTTCCTTTCCAGGAGGACCCACCACTCCTGGAGGACCCTTTATGGCAAAACAGCGAATGATTTACACTGTAAAATTACGCAGAGCTGCATATTATTATCTGGTTTAATATCTTCTTGTTCCCTGAGATGATTCCGTTCTTCAAAAACAAAACAAATATCCACTTGGACTGGTTGTAAATTTCACTGTATGGTGCTATTATCCACTTACCCTCGGCCCAGCTGGTCCCACAATACCTGTAGCTCCTGGCTCCCCTGTGGCACCCTGAAACAGAAAAGCATGCCATTTCATTGTCTGACCTTCAAACTGCCCTCAAACTACATTTGCACAGTCCCCTTGGAGCTTTTACAGCTTTATTACAGGATGTTTCCTTTAATTCTTGAAACTGTTTTTATTCATTCTTTGTTTATTGTGTAGATGTGTTATTGTGTTCTGTCTGGGGTTGCAGTTCCTGTGAATGCGTCTTGCTCTCATGTCTCTCTTGGAAATATCTTGTTGTGTTTTAGTAACAATGCTGCAGTGGCAAAGTTTGTATGTTAAAAACAACACCAGTATTATCAGCATACAGCAGATCAAAAACTCTTGTTGTAACAAATATCCTTGTTAAATGTGATTAATTTATTATTAGATTGAATTTAGTTATACGGGGTATAGGCTCTTCTTTCTAAACAGGAACTGACAAATTCCACCTACAGTTTAGGAATAGTAGTATCTGAAGTATCAAAGAACTGGAAGTTTTTTAAGTTGCCTAAATTCTGAACAGTTTGCTTACAGTTGTTCCTGGCAAACCGTGGAGTCCAGTGAAACCTCTATGTCCTTTCTGACCCCTCTCCCCTTGTTCTCCAGCGGCACCTTTCTCTCCCTGTGGTCCTTGAGGTCCCTTAAAGCAGACACAGGATGACAATTCAACATGTGTCACTGTAACACGTGTTTTACACTGAAAACAAGCACCGATCAATTTTAATTGTTGGTTTTTATCTGTTTTTTTGGGTATCAGTGAAGTGAAAACTTTTTATTTCATGCTTACCACTTTCCCCCGTACTCCAGCTGGTCCATGGGGTCCAGGGGGGCCTTTGGCACCCTAAACCCAAAACAAGCAAAGGGACATGACTGAGCAGACTTTGCTATTGTGACAGAGTGGTTGATACTGTATGTGACTGACAAATGCAGCGCAAGAAATAAAATTTGTTGTATTTCTCACGTTTTCGCCTCTTTCTCCCGGAGCACCCGTCAGTCCCACAGGACCCTCAGTTCCTGGAGAGCCATTAACACCAGCAAGGCCCTCTTGACCAGGATTACCCCTGTCTCCCTGGAAACACACACACACACACACACATAACAGTGATTAGTACAGACAGCCATATGCATGGCACATCCAGTCCCCTACAAAACAACACACACATATTTAATCTTACCCTTTCCCCTACAAGGCCGTCCTTACCGGGGGGCCCCTCTGCTCCAGCGATACCCTGAATAAACACAGGTAATGACATGATGAAATGATCATGTAAGTGTCGCTGTAAACCATAAATATATGGTCTTAATATATGCAGAAAAAAAGTGCATAGATGTGAATAATAATCTATGAATGAAGACTTTATTTTGAACATGTACAGAAAAACAAATAATAATAAAAAGCTAATAAAGTAAGTAGTAAAAGCTAATAAAAGAAAATTTCCAAAAAGCAATAGGAGGAAGCATATTAAGCTTATTTAATCCTACCCCTTCTCCACTAATCATTAATAATCATCAAATTGGCTTTTTTATATTTATCTCATATCCTATTTTAACACATTCTTCACAATTTGCTGCATGTATTTGCATCAAAAGAAACATATTTACACACACATATATATATATATATATATATATATATACATAAATAAGATAAAAAACAAATAAATAAATAATCTGTGAGAACACCTGTTCAAAGCGCTTCTTCCTCCCTGTACCATGTAGCTCTAATACATTATTGCAATTTTTGAGATACTTTGACTTAGATTTTCCTCTATTTTGGAGAAAATGATTAAATACCAAATTATCAGAAAGTCTGTTTTTGGAGCTGAAATCAGAAACCTAATGTCTAATTGTCAGAGTCATACAGTGGCCCATGTTTCCAAGAAAAAAGCAGTCCTGAGTGTGTGTAAGTGTCTCTAGATAAAAGCATTACTAAATAAAGCCACAGGACATACCTCAGGGCCGGCGTCTCCTCTTGGCCCGGTGGATCCTGGTAAACCAACTCCACCAGCGGGCCCTGTGCTCCCCTGGACTCCTGGAGCTCCGGCTTTTCCTGGTGGACCCTGACAAAGAAAGAAATACAAACTTTAAATTATTAGCATTTTCAAAGGTAATAGTTGACTAGCTCATCGTGTTCAACACCAAATTCCCACAGCAACCATTGAGCAGGAATACATACAGCAGGACCTGGCAGTCCCAGCATGCCTCTCTCTCCTCTGAGTCCAGGCTGACCCACAACTCCTCTCTGTCCTGCGGTGCCAGCAGGTCCTGAAGGCCCATCAGGCCCCTGACAGAGGAACACAAGAGCAGACAAGCAGTTGAAACATCTCAGGATTTATATTCTTATGGCTCCTGGAAGATCAGCAATTAATGAACTCCTTCCTGCATCTTACCACCGGACCATCCTCTCCAGAGTCTCCCTTCTCTCCAGGGCTGCCCGCTGGGCCTGGATGTCCAGTCTCTCCTTGATGTCCTTGAGCTCCATTCTCTCCTCGAATCCCGGGGGCCCCTGCTTTCCTGGAGCACCTATAGGCCCGTCTGCCCCAACAGCACCCTGAAACACAAATATGATCTTGATCTATGATCCAAATTTTGGAAATACAAAGATGAAATCACTGCAGGTACAAAACAGAAACACGGATAAGAGTCTGAATAATGATGTGATTCTTTGTTGTTCTAATTAATAACATGAGGACTGACCTTTTATAACAAATTAAAATTTAAAACACAAGTGATTTTTTTAAATGATTTGTTTCTGTGGCAATATATGAAATAACTGGATATCGGACAGGATATCCATATTTAAATCCTGCGTGGTGGACCATGTAAATGACTTTGATGCTTAACCAATTAACTCACAAGGGAGCCATGTGGTCCAACTCCTCCAGGCAACCCAGGAAAACCAGGAGAGCCCTGTGGGAAGAAAACGTTTCAAATAAGACACGCTTTAATGATAATAATGACAATAACACTTAACTTAATTATTACACATTAAAAAGCACTCTATAATAAGCACCAAATTAAAGGTTTAAAGAAATAAACTGACAATGAAATTGTTATTATTATTGCCACAAAGTCTTTGAACATGTGAAAATATGGAGCTGAACTCACTGCTTGACCCTGCGTACCTCTGCCCCCTTTCAATCCAGTCACACCAACGGGTCCCTGTGGGTAGAAGTGTTTATTTTGTCAACTACACAGCCTATTTTTCACCACAAATACGAGACTAAAAGTGGATAAAAAGTAACCAGGGCAACACATGTAACTGTGCAAAACAAATGCTTACAGACTGACATTTTTGTCAGAAGAATAGATCGATAGATGCCAGAATTAGCACTGATGAGCAGATGTTTTTGGTGATTTAAAATGTCTAAAAGCTTCACTGATTCCAGTTAAAACCTTCTAGCAAATATTTATTTGTGGAGTATTGATTAAGACAATCCAATTGACCCTTGGATTAAGACATGGAGGCAACATGGACTTTCATTAGATTTGGATGTGTACCTGTGCTCCTGATTGCCCAGCCATCCCCTGTGGTCCAGGTGCTCCTCCTTCTCCCTTCTGACCTGGCTCACCTGTTTCACCTTTGATCCCAGGTTGACCCTCAGGACCCTGGGAACGAAAGAGCAAATGAGTGTAATCAAGCCTCTATCGCTTATTATTAATTGGTATATCTTGGCCATCACTGCCCTGCGTTTGCTGTCTTTAGTGGGCACTTACAGGAGTTCCAGGGAAGCCAACAGCTCCAGTTGGACCAGGCTCACCAGTAGATCCCTGTTGATAGTATCACACACACAGACACAAATACACAGTTTATTGAGAAGAAAATTAAGTACAGCCAGTCAGCCATGTCATTTGAATTAAATGTTCCACTGACAGCAATTCCTCTTGAGCCTCGGCGCCCTGCAGGTCCTGGTGGGCCGGTTTCACCCTGAAATAAAGGATCATTCAAGTCAAATAAAAGAGAAGTTCTCAAAACATGGATTTTCTTATGTGCCTTTCATATAAAACTGGAATCAATGAAATCATTTTTTGATTAAAGGGTTTAAAGAGTTAGCTTGAGGTTCATGCTCATGCTACATGTCCAGTGCTCATTTAAATTTTATATCTCATTTACATGGCAGCCATTTTGAATTGAAAAAGGGAAACTCTTACAAGTTCCTTGTTGTTTTGCACCAAAATGATCATGATGATAGTGTGTCTACTGCTCAATTTCAGTCATATATTGTCTATATTGTGAAATTTTTTTTGATTCTGCTGCTTGATAATTTTAGCTCATGACATGAACATGAACAATCACATTTTCAGGTTTAAAACACATGCTAAAATGAGTGCTTGTGAGCTCACCTTTTCTCCATTGGGTCCACTGGAACCAACAGGTCCAACAGGACCAGGAAGCCCCTTTTAATAAAATGAAAGAATTCATTATCATATTAGACAAAAGAAAACTCAATTGTATGATGGTTTAACAGTGAATTTTTAATCTTAGTGCCATCATGTCAGATATTTTGCTGCAATGTTCCGGCTTCATCCGCTGAGAAATCTGCAGTTTGGTTTGTGTCCATCAAGTTGACACGACTCACCCGTGCACCGTCAGCTCCTGCTTTACCTTCGGGTCCTTTATCTCCAACAGAGCCCTATTAGAAGAAATCAGACTTTTCAGCTCTTTTAACAAGCTTCTGGATTCCTTTTGAGCACACAGGAAACTCAGAATTCCATTTGACAACCTCCAGATAACTTGCTCACACTTGATGCACCAAACATAGAAGGACATTGTGACATAGACAGCAGATTTTTTGCTCTGCTAAGGGTCATTGAGAAATTGGTGTCTCTGTCTCTTTGCAGATGATCTAATCATATTCTATAACTTACTGCGTCTCCTTTTGGGCCTGAAGGTCCTGGTATGCCTCTCTCACCTGGCATCCCCTGAAGTCCTGTCCCTCCTGGCTCTCCAACAGCACCTGCTGGACCAGGGTTACCCTAATATACAAGAAAAAGTATCATGGGTTCACAGTACTTTACATGCTACAAATTTCCATTTTATGTAGGGTTTTGGTTCTTTTTATCTCACTGTCAGTGGTTTTAGGATTACAATACCTTTGGCCCATCTGTTCCCGGTCCACCTGGACTACCTTTGGGTCCCTGCAGCCCATTGGGCCCAATTTCACCTCTCTCTCCTGGAGGGCCTCTTTCTCCCTGCAAGGATAACCGGGTGAATGATTTACAACATTTGGCTGTGGAAAAATGAATATGAGCTACACCCTTAATCAGAAGTGAGAACAGTCATTACTGCTACAAATGGACTTACCCTTGGACCTGTCGCTCCGGCAGCCCCACCCTCTCCAGCAAGACCCTGGAAAAAAACCATTATGGTTTATGTAATATGATCAGAAGAACTTCTGAGTACAAAAGATATAATTTAATAAGAATGTATCTATCCGCACTAAAATCATTTCTGGAAAAATCGTTAATTTCTGGGGGGTTATTTTGTTGTACCTCATCACCTGGTTTCCCTGACTCTCCAGGTGGGCCAGGCATTCCGGGCAAACCCTAAAAAACACCAACGCAATTTTTTTATTGAAAATAACAATACTGGACAAGAATATCCACATTTTCATTAATATGCTAGTATGTTTAAATCAGACTTCATTGTTTAGTTTCAGTTTAACAATTTTGTTTTTTTAGCTAGAAACAGAGGGATCATAATTTATAGAAAGCCTAAATGCAGAGTGAATTACTGGCGGCTGTGGCTCAGGAGTTAGAGTGGGTTGCCTCATCCTTGGGCAAGATACTGAACCCCGAAATACCCCTGGTGGCTGTTCCGCCAGTGTATGAACGTGTGTGAATGTTAGTTTCTGTTTGAGCACTTAGGTGGTGAATGTAGATGTAGTGTAAAAGCGCTTTGAGTGGTCGAAAAGACTAGAAAGGAGCTATACAAATACAGAGCATTTACAATTATGTTGGACAGAGTTGTTGGTGTAAGACCTCCCAACTCTCTTTTTTATGGTTTAGTTTCAGTTTTTGCCGTTTTTTTCCTTTTAGCTGGAGACAGAGAAGTAATTGTAATTGTAAAAATATTTAATATGTAAATAAATTTTGAAAGCTAAGTTAGGCCTCCAATGCCAATCTCAAATGTACACTCACCTAAAGGATTATTACGAACACCATACTAATACTGTGTTTGACCCCCTTTCGCCTTCAGAACTGCCTTAATTCTACGTGGCATTGATTCAACAAGGTGCTGACAGCATTCTTTTCAAATGTTGGCCCATATTGATAGGATATCATCTTGCAGTTGATGGAGATTTGTGGGATACACATCCAGGGCACGAAGCTCCCGTTCCACCACATCCCAAAGATGCTCTATTGGGTTGATATCTGGTGACTGTGGGGGCCATTTTAGTACAGTGAACTCAATGTCATGTTTAAGAAATCAATTTGAAATAATTCGAGCTTTGTGACATGGTGTATTATCCTTCTAGAAGTAGCCATCAGAGGATGGGTACATGGTGGCCATAAAGGGATGGACATGGTCAGAAACAATGATCAGGTAGGCCGTGGCATTTAAACGACGCCCAATTGGCACTAAGGGGCCTAAAGTGTGCCAAGAAAACACCCCCCACACCATTACACCACCACCACCAGCCTGCACAGTGGTAACAAGGCATGATGGATCCATGTTGTGTGCCAAATTCTGACTCTACCATCTGAATGTCCCAACAGAAATCGAGACTCATCAGACCAGGCAACATTTTTCCAGTCTTCAACTGTCCAATTTTGGTGAGCTCTTGCAAATTGTAGCCTCTTTTTCCTATTTGTAGTGGAGATGAGTGGTACCCGGTGGGGTCTTCTGCTGTTGTAGCCCATCCGCCTCAAGGTTGTGCGTGTTGCGGCTTCACAAATGCTTTGCTGCATACCTCGGTTGTAACGAGTGGTTATTTCAGTCAAAGTTGCTCTTCTATCACCTTGAATCAGTCGGCCCATTCTCCTCTGACCTCTAGCATCAACAAGGCATTTTCGCCCACAGGACTGCCGACTACAGGATGTTTTTCCCTTTTCACACCATTCTTTGTAAACCCTAGAAATGGTTGTGCGTGAAAATCCCAGTAACTGAGCAGATTGTGAAATACTCAGACCGGCCCGTCTGGCACCAACAACCATGCCACGCTCAAAAATTGCTTAAATCACCTTTCTTTCCCATTCCGACATTCAGTTTGGAGTTCAGGAGATTGTCTTGACCAGGACCACACCCCTAAATGCATTGAAGCAACTGCCATGTGATTGGTTGATTAGATAATTGCATTAATGAGAAATTGAACAGGTGTTCCTAATAATCCTTTAGGTGAGTGTATATTAAGTATAAGTATATAATTATGTATATTAATGGAATGCTGTGTACCTGGAAACCATGCAGCCCCTGTGGTCCCTGCTCTCCTCTCTTTCCTGCAGGACCCTAGAGAAAAGCAAAAACATCATCTAACATAATGCTATCAAATCATAGATGGTGAGATTGTATACTGATAACAGAGTTAGATGCTTACAGCTGGGCCAGCTGGACCAGCAGTACCCTCCTCTCCGTCTTTTCCATTCGCCCCCTTGCAAGATAAATTAGAGTATTTATCAGTATATCTGTATTGATGATTAAGATTTGATGTATTAATGATTCAGCATAAATTGTATTATATCAATAGTAAAATAAACTTGCCCTTTGACCTGGAGGCCCGGGTGTGCCAGCCTCTCCTATCTTCCCAGCATCACCCTAAAAATCAACAGGAACACAACCACAGAAGACATCATCTATAGAGTCATCATGCACCAGAGTATTTTTTTAGTAAATAGCCCTGTTGTCAACACCCAACCTAAAAATTTCACATAATTTATGGCTATGTTTACTTAAGTTTTTTTACTCCAGTAACTTCACTTTCAATTTTAAAGGAAAATCAGTAAACTAAGCAAAGTGGTAGGATTCTCTTTCAATTATTCCAAACATCACAAAACATCTGATTACATTTGTTAAAGCTGGAGCAGGCAACATTTGAGAAACTAGCAACAGCTAGATTTTTAAAGTATCTAAAAATCCCTCCCTCTTCTTTCAGGCCTCCCTCCCCATTACAGGCCATTACATAGTGCTTATCACAGTCCTGCAACAGAAAACTGATTTATTTTCTTTTTAGGGGTCAGAGCATTTGATTTATAGACTACTGTTAGGAAGTAAAAAGAGATTTCAACAAATATAACAAAAATGCTTTTGAACTAAATCGCCTAGCTTTAAAGTGGTACATAGACCTATTATAAAACAAGAGTCATACTGACAGCGAAGCCTTTCGGTCCTGGCAGGCCCATTGGTCCAGCTAAACCTCGGTTTCCAGTAGAACCAGCTGGACCTGGTTTGCCATCCTCTCCTGCTGAGCCCTGGAAAGATCAAAAGAAATGTTAAATGTTAACACATGTCATTCACTATACCACCATAAACAATGTACTCTAGGTTTGGGGAAAGAATTAATTCTTACATAGCTGTTTTAGTAAGTGGTAAAACTTTGATGAGTGATGAAAAATAAAATGTTTTGCCTACCATTGGTCCTTGCTTTCCCTCTGCTCCCTGGGCGCCAATAAGTCCTGTCAGACCCTGTGAAATCAAACATGAGATAAGACACATAGTTACAGAAGAACCTTAGATACCTATCTGAAGTTGCATCTTCTCCTTCTTCTATAAATATTGCACAGCAATCAGCAGAAAACAATATTCCTGATATTAAACATTTAATGTCAGGTAGATTTTATGTGATTGAAGTTCAGTTTTGTCAAACAAGTTTTAGGGGAAGCATGAACGCCCAACAGTCATGTCCCGGGGTAATGACACACCCTGGAGTACATCACTTCAGCCAGGCAAAAAGTTAAAGCACCCGAGGTCAGAAAATACAAGATTTTCTGCTGGTGTGAAGTTGCTCTAACAGAAACATAGAACATTTATTACTATAAAAAAACACAGCAAAAACTGAGCTAAAAGTGACAAAAAAAAACTTCAAAATTCCTTCAAGGCAAAGACAACATTGGATATGTAGCTGTGTCTGCATTACCCGAGCTCCAGTTAAACCTGGCTCTCCATTACGTCCTGGATCTCCAGGTAAACCTTTGGTGCCGGTTGACCCTGGCAGTCCTCTTTCACCCTGGGCTCCCTGTTTGGCCAAACATCAAATGTTTAAAAACACAGTAACAAATGTGCCATTGATGATCAGAATTATCTAGAATTCTGCCCTTATATGTATTTTGATGTGAAGTCATCTCACCTTTTGGCCTGGTAAACCATCTGCACCGGGGAAACCTCTATTTCCGGGAGCTCCCTAGAACAAATGAAGGATGCTTCTTTCAAGAATCTAAGAAATCTGCCGTGTTTCCAGATTAGGGTTTTGAGTTTCCAATACATTTCCACAGAACCTGAGATCATAAAACTCTCTCTATGTTTAAAGTATTAGAAAAATAGTTTTTAAAATATGAAGTCAGAGTATGCTTACTGTCTCTCCTGGAGGTCCTTGAGGACCTATGGATCCAGCATCACCTCTGGGTCCACGCTTCCCGTCCTCTCCCATTGGTCCCAATGGACCCGGAGGGCCATGGTCACCCTAACAAGACCCAGCAATGAACAATCAGTCAATCAATCTGTGAACTAACCAACACATAACACCAAAATAATGTTAAATATGAGCTTTTAGGGTCTTTGAGGATTTTGATTTTCTAGCTTACCCTTTCCCCCTTGAATCCAGCTTCTCCTTTGAATCCAGGCACTCCAACATCTCCCTGCAAAAGGAGATCAGATAACCTGGAGGTCAAAACATTAAAGCTCCCAGTGCATTTCACTAAATGAGCCACACCATTAAAAATATTATTCAAACTAGTAAGTTATTCATGAAAGAAAATTCGATGAAATGAGAGATTGTACCAGTTGGCCCTTTGGTCCTGGTGATCCTGTGGTTCCCTGAGGGCCGGGGGGACCAGGGGGGCCCAAAAGCCCTGCTGGACCCTGGACACCTGCTAGACCCTGGACAGGAGAAGGAGCAGTTAGATACGTAATAAACACATTAACAGATTTACAGATAAATAAATGCTGAAAGTTGGTTTATAGCAATTCCTACGAGTTCAGAACTCATGCAGTTACACTTACTGATTGGCCACGAGCGCCTGGAGCTCCATCAGTCCCTGAAGCACCCTGTTCAAAAACAAATTAATAATGCTAATTATTAAACAACATGTGTTCACTTTCTTAGTTTTAAAAGAAATACCAACAAAAGCAGTGTTGGGCAAGCTACTTGGAAAATATAGTGAGCTAAGCTACTTGCTACTCTACATTAAATGAAGCTTCACTACACAGAAGCTACTCCCCAGTGAAATGTAGCAAGCTAAGCTACAGCAACGTGGCAAAAGTAGCTTAGTTACATCCAAGCTACTTTTAATTTTTTTTATGTTTTATTATAGTTAGGTCATATATGTATATATATATATATGCATATATGATGTATATGTATATATATATATATATATATATACACACACACTCACACACACAGTATAGGCCTAGTTTATATTGATTTCACAGTAGCAACAGAAGAAAGACTAAAACCTGCTCCAAACAGTGTGTGTGTGCGCGAGAGACGGACACACAGAAACTCTCCTTCTCCATATCATTGCAGCTAAATGTATTTCCTTATGCAACAAACTGAGAACCATTGTTGTTTGTATAAAGTAACTTCATTATCACATTATTAATTAATTATATATTTTTATTGTTAATTATGTGAATTTGTGGTCTGGCAACATTGCAACCTAAACAACCTAAACATTCATGGCAATGGGCGAGAGAGAGAGAGAGAGAGAAAGGGAAAGAGAGAGATCTCATGTCATGGAAACAAGTTTCTGCCGCAACATATCAAAGTTTCCTCCTCACTAGAGAAAGAGCTGTGCAGGCTGGACCTGATCCCTCTCACAAGAGGTGTTACAATAACTATCACAATAGAAACTAAACTCAATTGCGCGTGACTTTATTCCCCTGCTGCAAAGTCGCACACATCAGCCCAAGGATCGGTACGTGATGTCACCGTCACACGGAAGCTCTTCTGCCGGCTGCACCTACAGGTCCGTGTGTGGCGGTGGCGTCACTTACTGATCCTTTAGAAATGCTTGGGAAAATGTAGCGTATGTGGAAGCTACCGCGCTACTCAGTCAATAAAAGCGCTTCGTTACTGAAAAGCTATTTGATTCAGAAAATAGCGACGCTACCACCAAACTACTGAGAAATGTAGTTAAACTAGTAACGGCGCTAGCCTACTTGTAGCGACGCTACTGAACAAAACACTAAGACAAATTATTACCCACCTGCTGTCCTGTCGGTCCAGGTGGTCCTACGTGACCGCCATCCCCTCTGGGTCCCTGCTGTCCTGGACTTCCTCTCACTCCGGTCGGTCCTGCTTCACCCTATCAGGTAAAATTCAAGGACTTTTTTGTAAATGATTTTCAAGGTCTTTTGTTGAAATTTAAGAAGTTAGATGTTATACTGAGAAAAAAAATTCCCTAATTTTCTGTAAATTATCCTGCCAAGTCAGGAAAGCTCAATCATTAAAATCAATCATTTTCATTCCTTTATCAACACAGTCATCTGTTTCTTTCATCCAACAGCCTAAACTGTGCAGAGATTCAAGATTTCACAGTAATCTTAATAAGATACAAAACTTCCCAAATCTTTAATTTTCTGCCAAAAATACCATAAATGACACAAAACTGGTGACAATCTCACCTTCATTCCTGGGCTACCAGGAAAACCTGGCACTCCAGTGATTCCCATTGGGCCCTGTAGTTAAAGGAGATTTTGTTAAATACTCAAAACAAAATTATAATAAGGAAGTTTATTTTGTTTCACAATCTGTGTGTTCTGAGGAAAAATTATGTCCAAAGAGCAGTGAAGCATTAATCTGTTCCAATGCAGTATTTCAAATAAACTGTATATTGAAAGATATATTATTCTTGATTCTATTCTATGATCTCATGATCATTTACAGTACTCATTTAGCTTTTATCCAAAGCAACTTAAAATAGCTATATATGTCAAAGGACAGGGCGGCGCGGTGATGCAGTGGTTAGCACTGTCACCTCACAGCAAGAAGGTTGTGGGTTCAAACCCTGGTTGTCCTGGCCTTTCTGTGTGTTTGCATGTTCTGGCGTGGGTTCTCTCTGGGTGCTCCGGCTTCCTTCCACCATCCAAAGACATGCAGGCTAGGTTAATTGGTGTTTCTGAAATTGTCCTTAGGTGTGGATGTGAGTGTGGGTGGTTGTCTGTCTATGTGTGGCCCTGCGATGGACTGGCGGCCTGTCCAGGGTGTACCCCGCCTTTCGCCTAATGTAAGCTGTGATTGGCTCCAGCCCCCTGCGACCCTGTACACAGGATAAGCGGTTGAAGATTGGTGTCAAAGAACGCATGCCTCTGGAGCAACTAGGGGTTAAGTGTCTTGATCAGGGACACATTGGTGGATGTATCACAGCAAGAAGAAAACCCAGGTTTCCCCCCTCAGGCACACGCAATATTATATCATTTTCAAGTTTTGAACTGTCTGTTGGACTATGTCATCCTATCCTGACTGCTCTCCAAGTAGTGGGTATGTTGGAAACACAAAAAGCAAATTGGGACTTCCTGTGAAGCAATAATTAATAAGATTTTCGGGAAATACACCTGACAAGAGACAGCCAATACGCTTACTTTCCTAAATGTGGAACTATTGCTTTAAACTATATTTATACGGTAAAATTCCTTACCAGAGGACCTGGTTTGCCAACATGACCGGATGCCCCGCGTTTTCCCTGCAAGAGGACAGTGAAAATGTCTCAGTCCTGAAACACCATTTTACATTTCTGCACTTTTCTCCAAACAAATTAAGCTGTTTTGTTTTCCTTACCACAGGACCACTTGGTCCGGCTCTGCCTCTTTCTCCCTGCAAACCCGCTGGTCCCTGAAACAGAAGAGGGGACTCAGTGTGAGTTACATCTGGTTCTCCATTAAAAAATGTTCTGGTGGTCTGTTTACTGTACATGTTGCATACCTGTGGGCCTGGAGCACCCATTGCACCCGGAGTACCAGATGTACCCTGCAAAACACAAAGACACAGAAACAATGCAAGTTTGACATGTAAACAAACAGCAGATAAAAGCAGGTGTTAGACGAAATCCATCATGAGGCGCTTTCATTAAATGTTATAAAGTGATATAATTGATGTGGATTAAGTTAGTTATGAGTTATCATATAACTGCATAAGTATCATGGCTGTATATACAGAAATGAGGAGGTTCCTCTAATGTCCTTTGGTTAAGTTAGTGGTTCTAAATAGGGCTGCATGACTTAAGGATTCCTCAAAAAAATAAAACTAAAGTGATTCCACAACAGTTGCACATCTGAAACATTTCATGAAACCTCACAGTGAAGGGCTTTATTGCACATGGACCTTAAGTGAACCCACTTGGGCAGCTAAGAACACTTTTAGTAGCCCAAACAAAAGTACATGTTTGGTATAAGAGGAGTTATAATTATTCTAATATATTATGAAGAATCATCTATTTTGAGATCAGACGACAATTTCACACCTTGGTTCCAGCGGCTCCAGACTCGCCTCTAGACCCGATAAGACCAGCATGTCCCTGTTGGCGAGATTTAAATTCACAAACAGGCAAGTTATTGATGTGTCTTGCATTGGAAAATAACCACTGAAAATGAGGACTAAGTATCAAGATGACTTACCTTGTGACCTTTCAGTCCTGGATGACCTGGAAGTCCAGGGAATCCTCTTGCACCCTGCATTTAAACAAATAATCAAATCACTGTTAATGCCCAGCTTACATCAGTTCTCGTTGTGTTTACCTGTCATTTAACTACATCGCCTCTGCTTGATTGTGTTGCTTGGTTATGATTAATAATATAATTCATTTCATTCATGAACGCTGCAAAACGACTGGTTACCGTTGATCCTGGAAATCCTGGTTCTCCTGTAGCACCTGCAGGTCCAGATTCTCCCTGAGCAGAAACAGTAAAATAATAGTTCTTAAATGATTATTACTGATAAATGAATACTGATAATATTAAAAATTATTGTTAATGATGGAAAAAGCAATCATAGACAGTAACAATAACAATAAGAAGAAGAACAATAACAATCATTGAAGTGCTAAAAATAACAATAATACAATACAATACTACTGCTACAGTATATACTACAACCAATAATTAGTGCCAAACAGTGGTGGAATAAGTATTCAGAGCAAGTAAGTAAGTAGTAGTAAAAGTAGTAATGTCACACTTAAGCGTACTACTCGTCATTAATAGAGGAAAATAGGAACAACCCCAGGTTTCTTTTCAGCACTGTAGCCAGGCTGACAGTTACAGTCACAGCTCTATTGACACAGGGTTTTATTGCACATGGACCTTAAGTGAGTATTCCCATAGCTCTCAGTAGTTACGACTTCATGAGCTTCTTTAATGATAAAATTCTAACTATTAGAAACAAAATTCACCAAGACCTGCCCTCAGCTGGTACCGACTTATGTCCAAACTCAGGAACCTTTGAAACAAAACCAGATATATGTTTAGACTGCTTTGCTTCCCTCAATCTTTACCAACTAACTTAGAATAGAAATAACTAATACTTAACATAGAAATAGTTTATTTGAGGATTTTCAGTCAGGATTTAGAATTCATCATAGCACAGAGACCACACTGGTGAAAATTACTAATGACCTCCTCATTGCATCAGACAAAGGACTTGTCTCTGTACTGGTTTTATTAGATCTTACAGCTGCATTTGATACCATTGACCATCAGATCCTATTACAGAGACTGGAACATTTCATTGGCATTAAAGGAACCGCTCTAAGATGGTTTAAGTCCTATTTATCAAATCGCTTTCAGTTTGTACATGTTAACGACGAATCCTCCATGCGCCAAAGTTAGTCATGGAGTTCTACAAGGATCTGTGCTCAGACCAATCCTCTTCACTTTATATATGCTTCCTTTAGGCAATATTATCAGGAAACACTCCATAAACTTTCATTGTTATGCAGATGATACTCAGTTATATCTATCAATCAAGCTAGATGAAACTCATCAGTTAGCTAAACTTCAAATGTGCCTTCAGGATGTTAAAACCTGGATGACCTGTAATTTTCTAATGTTAAACTCAGATAAAACTGAAGTTATTGTTCTGGGACCCAAGCACCTCCGTGATGCATTATCTAAAGATATAGTTTCCCTTGATGGTATCGCCCTGGCCTCCAGCACCACCGTTAGGAATCTTGGAGTTATCTTTGATCAGGACGTGTCGTTTAAGTCTCACATTAAGCAAATTTCAAGGACTGCGCTTTTTCACCTATGTAATATTGCAAAAATCAGGAACATCCTGTCTAAAAATGATGCAGAAAAACTAGTCCATGCATTTGTTACTTCTAGGCTGGATTACTGCAATTCCTTATTATCAGGCTGCTTGAAAAAGTCCATTTAGACTCTTCAGCTGATCCAGAATGCTGCAGCACGTGTTCTGACAGGATCCAGGAAAAGAGATCACATTTATCCTGTCTTAGCTTCTCTGTATTTGCTTCCAGTAAAATCCAGAATAGAATTTAAAATCATTCTTCTCACATACAAAGCTCTTAATGGTCAGGCACCATCTTATCTTAAAGAGCACATAGTACCTTACTACCCCACCAGAGCACTGCGCTCCCAGAATGCAGGGTTGCTTGTGGTTCCCTAGAGTCTCCAAAAGTAGAATGGGAGCCAGAGCATTCAGCTATAAAGCTGAAACCAGGTTCCAGTTTGGGTTCAGGAGGCAGACACCATTTCCACATTTAAGAGTAGGCTTAAGACTTTCCTCTTTGATAAATCTTATAGTTATGACCATCCCTTAGTTATGCTGCTATAGTGCATCATGGGAAATCCTCTCTCCTCTTCTTTCTCTCCCTCTCTATGCAACCTCATCCCATTAATGCATGTTACTAACTCGACTTCTCCCCTTTCCTGTAGTCTTGTGCTTTCTCGTCCCTCTCCTCTCTCCTCCTATCCGTTCCTGCAGGTGTCTCTGTCTCTGGAGCTGTGGAGTCTGGATCTGTGGTTGTGAGTCACCTGCTGCCCCTGTGTTCCTGCTCGACACCCTCTGTTCCAATTATTGTTACTAGTCCTATTGTTATTATTGTAATTATAATAATATATATATTATATATAATAATTATCATTAACACTACTGTAAATATCTGTACCATTATTCATTTAGTCTATAGCAACATCACCTTTACTGTCTGTACCTATGTGTGGATATTGTGTAGGCTGCCTCCCTCCCCTCTCTCTCTCCTTCCATCCCCCTCCCTCTTTCTCTCTGTTCCTCTCTCTCAATTCAATTCAAATTAGCTTTATGGCATGAATGTGTAACAACAATATTGCCAATCATACATACTACATAAGAACAATCAACCCCATACATTTCATTAAACAAGTAATTAAAGCGTAAATATATACATATATATATATATATATATATATATATAGGAAAAATTAAAATAAAATAAATAAATAAAACAGTAAGCGTGTGTGTGTGTTATAAAGAAAATATATTAAAAATTAAATAAATTAATAAAACAGTAAGCATGTGTGTGTGTGTTACAAAATAAAATAAATAAATAAAACAGTAAGTGTGTGTGTGTGTATTAAAAATATATATATATATTAAAAATTTTAATAAATAAAACGGTAAGTGTGTGTGTGTTAAAAAATTTAAATATTTTTAAAAACATATTTATATAATCCCCCCCCTTTGCCTCTGTTGCCTAGTGCTTGCTCTTGGTGGGAACTGTTGGGTTTCTGTAAATATCATCACAGAGTACAGTCTAGACCTGCTCTTTTATGAAAAGTGCTCAGAGATAACTGTTGTTGTGATTTGGTGCTATATAAATAAAATTTAATTGAACTATATTATCAGCAAAATGTGTTTAAAGTATCACAAGTAAAAGTATTCATTATGCAAAAAAATACTTATTTGATGGTGTATTATTTCATATATTATCTGAGTCCTGCAAATTTATAATGACCTATTAGATAACCAATATTCGTGTTTTAAATTTAAATCAACTTGTCTAAAAATGCTCAAGACAATAAAGCATTTTGCTACACAAGAACTATGAAAAACTTTAAGGAAATACTTGAAACAAGTTAATTGACATTAAAAACCGGTCGGAATATCATTACAGCACATTTCACCTCAATATTGTACTTGTACTTGAATAAATGTCCTCGGTTAAAAGGATAATAGTATATTTTGCATTTTTAAGAGGATGTATATGTATGTATGATTGACTCACATCAGGTCCAGGTTTTCCTGGCAGCCCATCTGGTCCTCGATGACCTGGCTCACCCTGTAAACAAACACAAAGAACCGTCACGACTGACGCATTACTTTTAAATCTGATGGGTTTTGACTGCCTCACCATAGCCATAGGGATATGAGGATCAAATATAAAATATAACAAAAAGCCGAAATTTTCCTACCATTGGTCCTGGATCTCCTGCATCTCCTGGAATTCCCTGACCACCACTTGGACCCTGAACAGAGAAAAACATGATACTCACTTACAATCTAAGGCTATGTATTTCGGAAAAGCTGTTACAGTTCATTTTAGAGTGACTTACAGTTTTAAATTTGCAGTGTTCTTACATCACGTCTTATATTAAAACAGGCAAGACCATGAACAAAATTAAGCCTTTAAATCTTTATATGGAGGCGTAAACTTACTGGTGGTCCAGGCATCCCTGGAGGTCCTCGTGGTCCTGCTTCACCCTGAAGTAGCAACATTTCGCACACTGTGGTTTAATTTGTACATCACAGCAAACATCCCAACTTTGCATATATGTAAATATACAATTTCTTTCCACTACACAACTGTATGGCACTCACCCTTGATCCTGATACCATCCCAGCTAGACCAGACTTCTCACTGAAACCTGAAGCCATCTGTGACACTAGGTTGCCCTAAAATGATTTTAAAATAAATGTTTGGCAAATAAATATTAAAGCCATTGCAGACAAGTGGTTTCTGCATTATCTATAAATTTTCTATATTTCTTTTGCAGATACGAGATGAGTTAATTGCCTCTGAGAAAAACTCACCCCAGGGTGGGAGGGATGGCCTGGGGGCCCCTCCTTTCCTGGATTTCCTGGAACACCGGGCTCTCCATCAAAACCTGGAGGCCCCTGAAATCCCTGCAGGGTGCATAGGAAATATGTTTAATAAGAGACAACATGTTCTTCTTTAGGAAATAAGACTCAGATCAGTCTCTCTGGCAGCCACAAGTTTTATTTGTATTTGTATTTGTAACCTCAACTCTTGGTCATTGTATGCTATTCTAATGAATGTGTAAAATTTATTTATTTTATATAAAATAATTAAATAATTAATATTAATTTAATATTATTATATTAATGATATATTATTGTATAATTTTATATTAAATAAATCTGATCCATTTTGCATGTAGTAACATGACCTTGGCTATCTAACCATAAGTTTATTTGTTTTTCATTTTAAATTTTTGCAAAATGCTTTTGGTGTAAAGTGTACTGAGTTGCAGCACTGCAAGACATGCACAATGTCAAATCACATCTCTTCTTTTTATTGAATATTTTGCCAGACTGCCCAAGAAACGTTTGACTTTGTCTTTAAAGATCCCTGAGGAAGTGAGTCTTTAAAGCAGCAAATGACAGAGGAGATTAACAAATAACTAATGGATGTTTAAAAAATTAAGATGATAAAAAATAAATAAAAACTCTAAATAAAATATAATATTATAATATTTGTAAACTACAATGTATCAGTCAGCAGCAGATTCATCCAGACTTACCCGTCTGCCTTTAAAGCCTCTTGGTCCAGTGCGTCCCTGAGCTCCTGGAGGACCCTGAACCATAAACACAAGTTAAAGAGTGTTTTTTTTATTCACAAGATTTGCTGTGTACAACCATAAAAGTCATTGTCAGACTACTGTAAATACAAAAAATAGGCCCATCAATGTTTGTATAACAAGCTATACAAAGATTGATTTTTATATATAAATATAAACACGTTTTTATATATAAAAATCTAATAATAAACACTATCACACTAGTGCCCTCTATTGTCAAAATTACTGCATGTTATCTATTGTCTACAGTATCTAATAATAGAGGACATAAAAGCATTAAGAACCCACCTGTGGTCCTGAAGGTCCAGGGAGCCCCACCACCTGTGAGTAGCAGTTAACAGAGTTAACAATTTTTTTGACATAACACCAAAAGCAAAAACTGTTTACATAAACTGACCTTTTTATTTATTGGAAGCTGAAATAAATGTTTTACAAAGTGCATGCACACTGTTTGTTTTGTTAAATTACTTACATATGGGATATCACCTGGTTCACCTTTCTGTCCCTAGACAGGAAACATATTAACAACTTGTTTTAATTTGAAGAACAACAGTGTTTATATTTGTTTAAAATACTAATTCATGTCAGAATCAATAATGACTTACCTTGAAGGCCAGAATTTCTTAAGAGGAAAATATAAAAAAGACAGTTAATTACATTTACACTTCTAATGAATCTCCACAGTGATATATCCTCTTGAACCTAAATGAGTCAGCTGCATTCATCATTCATTGTGTATACAACCAGCTATTAAACTTTATTGATTAAATCGTTTTTGGTCTTTTAGAACTTTACACCTCCTGAAAATCTTGTTTTTGCTGACTTTCAACAGGTCAAACTTTGCTGCAGTGATGTAAAAGTGTACTCCAAGGTGTGTAGGTACACCGTGACATCACAGTTGGTGTGGTCACAGGTGCAACTCACTTGAAATTATCAACCAAAGAAGGCAATAAAACTCTTTAAAGCACTAAACAATAAATGACATCAAAGCTAAGTTAACTGGCTAAACAAAGTCCTGGTTTGGCAGGTAAATAGGTAAAATCATCTTTGAACATAGAAGTTATCAATCAAGACAATCTTATATAGCAACTTCCCAAAACTCCTCTTGTGAAGTGGACAGTGGGATGAATTCATCTCACCTATCATCCTGCTGGCACTGGCAAAGCTGTCACACACTGGACAGCACTCCCCCTCAGTTGTGACGACCTTCTCGCAGTTTGACAGCAATTCACACTGCACCTCATCGCAGATGGCGACACCGTTGTCACAGACACACACGCGACAAGGCTCTGGTTTCCAAATGTCGTTGTGATGGTAGATCTCCTCATCGACTATGCAGCTTTCCCCTTTCTTCTCATCTGCAGCTGTGACGTACAGGACAGAACCAGTTTTAAAAGTACTAAGCCTTCAACTATCTGACATGATTAACGCAACATTTACCTGTTGTGGGGTCTGTGTTGGGCATTGATGTTGAAGCTGCAGTCAAGCACACAGGGCAACACTCGCCCTCTGGAGTCAAAGTTTTCTGACAGTCGCCAAGGTCCTCACAAACCACGTCTTCACACACAGCAGTCCCCATATTGCATACACAGAGCCGACACGGCTCTGGGTTCCACATGTCATTGTTGGCGTAGACTTTTCCATTTTCTGTGCAGGTGTCTTCATGAAACGGAAATGTGGGGAAATTAAATTAGTATCTCTGTGGTTTTAAATTTCAGTGCAAGAAATGAATGTCACCTAAAATCCACCAGTCAAAGGAAATGTTTTATGCTTTTTTTCTTTCTTGCCAAGAGAAGATTGATACCATGCACATGTCTGTATGCTAAATATGCTGTTAGTAGATTTTGTTATCTTTGGACAGAGCCAGGCTAGCTGTTTCCCTGTTTTCCAGTCTTTATACTTAGCTAAGCTAACCAACTGGTGACTAGCTTCATATTAAGCATACAGATGTTATAGCAGTCTTGATCTTCTCATGTAACTCTTGGCAAAAAAGCGTGTTAGCGTATTTCCCGCTATGTTGAACTTTTTCCTTAAATATTAAATCTTAAATTTTAACTGCATACTCTAACATGCTTAACTGTCATGCCAGAAATTATGCTAAAAGGGTAAAATAAATCCTGTTTTTTAAACACCCCATGTGTAATTTTATTGTGAATTTAGCAACCTCCAGATTATTGTCACTGTTAAAAAAAAAAAAAAAAAGACAATCTTGGTGCAACCCACTTATCTCATTATCTAGATGGGTTTCATGGAATTCATCGTTGTCTTTTCAAAACATTCTCACTCCCAACATGTCACATATGGACGCTTGGTCAAAACCCCCTTGACGTTGTTTTTTTTAACACCCTGGGCACCCCTTTACCATTGTTTTTCAGGCTCTGCAGGCAAGTTATGTTGTGCCCTCCCTCACCACACAGGCTAACACATTGCCATCTTTCAAACAGGCCCTCAAAAGCCACTTTTTCAAGACTGCATTCCCTCAACTTTCCTCCCCTCTCTCCCTTGTCTTTTTTTCAACAATTACTTTCATCTTACCTTTTGTAAAGCGTCTTTAAGTATTTAGAAAAGTGCTATATAAATCTTATTTATTATTATTATTGTTATTAAATTAGCAGCAACAAATATGCAACGTCCGGTTACACTTTTAAATAGTGCTGGGCAAAGATACATTTTTTATCGCGATTAAGCGCATGATTATTTTGCAATTAATTCATTAATTTCTTGCAATTGTTTTGCGCAATATTGAATAATGAATTCTAAAGTACTGCTGTACTGGTATATACACAAAAGTGCAATAACGTGATTTGCAAACACTTAACACACAACAAATAAGGTGCTTTTTACCAGCACCTATTCCCTTTACACAGTAGCAATAAAATATTTCTTGTAAATCTCAACTTAAACATTAATGTAATGAAATCAATGCCAGGGCATTACCTTTTATCTAGCTTGTTAACACAAGTTTCCATCAGAGTTCAGTTTTCTTGGGGGTTTTCTGAACCTAGTCTATGTTCAGTAGCAAGTTTCCCAGTTAGAGTGAGGTGAAGTGGTCGAGCACAAGGTGTAGGACAAGGGGTGCATTTTTCTGAAACTGTCGCGGTCGCGCTCGCCTCACACCCACGCCCACCACCGAATTGAATTGTCTTGAACTTTTTGTACAACCCGCAGCACAAATCTTTGGAAGCGAGACTGATCCTTGCTGTGAGTTTCCAGAATCTATTAGGCTACTGTTTACTAAATAGGACATCAACAGGAAGGAATTCACATTGCAGAGTATCCCCGCAAAACTAGATGAAGGCCTATCAGGTAAAATTATGTAGCCTATAATTTCATCTTTAGTTAAATAGGTCACAGCTGTGTAGCGCACAGAAGCCGTTGCCATGGTTACCCTCAATACAGCGCCTGCCATTTACTCGTGGAGCGCTGTCTTGTGTGTGTGTGTGTGTCCTCCCACACGCTGCAACCAAGAAGTCTGCCAAAGCCTCCCTCCACTGCTTGTTTGGGTGGGTGATATGCAGGCTGATCAACATTCCACCCCTCCTGTGACCCGTGGTTTGACTGTAGCCTATGTGTATTCAGAGCCAGTGAGAAACGGACTTTTAATTTTTAAAAAACTGCGTTAACGTGCAATAAAATAAGTGTCGGTATTAAATAATTAATGCGTTAAGGCAATGTGCCCAGAACTACTTTTAAAATAAAAGTACTTGTTAATGTTGCGAAACATCACCTTTTTAAAACGGTACATTGTTGACATTGGGAAATGTTGCAATTTGGATAGGTTTAGGCACCAAAGTAGGCTACTGGATTAGGTTTAGGAAGAGATCATGGTTTGAGTTAAAATAACTGTTACGTACATCATTACATTACTTTACTTAAATTAAGTAGCCTAATTTTACTTGCATAACTTAAATAAACAACATTTAAGGTTGACTTTTTGTTTCACACGGGAAACAAACACCGGTCTCCTGGTTGAAAGTCCGGTTTCTGGCCCTCCTTCAACCCCAACCACCTCCTTAGTTGGTCTTTCCGGTAAAATAATATCCTTACCTTTACTGTTCAAAAGTGACGCTACAGGGCTTCCCTCGGTGCTTTGAACTATTGTGTTATGGGGCTCCTCAGTGAATTACAAACTGATGCCAATGGGTCTTGACCATGCGTCCATGTGTGACGAGTTGGGAGTGAACGGGTTGTTCTTTTTTGTATGACCACTGACAGTCACCAAAGTCATGTTTTAAAATTCTACACATAGGGGCTTTAAACAGTGCATCTTTTAAAAGAAAGATACTATTAGTCATTCATTAGTCATTTAAACACTTTAAGCCTTAGCCTACTTGGTGCTGAAACAGAAAGCAAGTGCGTTGAACAACATTACATTTGAAGCTGATGATACAAGGGGCAACTTGTTGCTGGGCAATCTTGCTAGTGGCAAGTACGGCTATGTTTTTAACAGATAGGGGTGGTGCAGGGTGAGTGGCGGAATGGTGGGGGAAGGGGATTATGGTAGTAATCTTTACTCATTATCATTGATGGCAACGTTGCCCTGCACGATTGCTCTAAAAGTTGCTCCGTGTATCATCAGCTTAAGAGGATCTAGCAATTTCCCAGAGGAATACACATTATTTGGTAAATAAGTTACTTGCTCGACTTCCTTTTGTGTTGCAGTAAAATCTGTAGCAGCTCACTATTATTTCCATTTATTATTAACACCGAAATGGCTGTCACTATGTACTTCACGCTAAATTGCAGGTGAAATTGCTACAATTTTTTGCTGCACAAAAGATGGTGGAGAAGTGAACTTATCTGGCAAAAAGTCAATGTATTCCTTTTGCAAACGGACAATACATTCAAAGGGAAACACAATATTGTAGAATTAAAAATAACATTTCGAGGTTGTGTGCACAAAATGGGGCCTGAAGAGGAGGGCTTCAGGCTGGGAGAGATGAAAAAGACAAAGATTTCAGGACTGCTAAAGGTGAGAAAAGGTCACCACAAACACTGCACGAAAATAACCAGGATGCATCTGCAGAATATATTTCAGTGGCCAAATGTGCAGGTAACATGGCAGTTTACCAGTTTCAGTGCCTGTGTTAGGCCGCTGTGCTGCAGCCAAGCACACGGGGCAGCACTCGCCCACTGGGATCTCTGCGGTCTTGCAGTCACCTAGATCCTCACACACCACGTTCTCACAAACCACCGTCCCCATTTCACATATACAGATTTGACATGGCTCTGGGCTCCATATCTCATTGTTGGAGTAGACTTTGTCAGCCTCTGTACAGAAATCTTTATGAAAAAGAACAGCAACTGACATCAGTACCCGGGGTCGTTCTTTGTCAGCTGATAATGTAACACATCATTATAGGCAGTCCAGATGTTTATGGTTTTTCAGTATGGCCTTTTCCAAGAAATAAGCATGGCTCTCAGCTTAAAAATTCTAAAAATACATTTAGCGTACAATTGTGTTCTACATACAATTGTGTGCAAAAGTGTTCAATATACTGTTTCGTGGTTGATTTGTTTATTTTCTTTATGTAAATATCTTTCAGCCATAAGGCTAGTCTCCCAAGAGTCCATCAATTGATAGATCGATCGATTTTTAGCCACGCTAGCAGTGGAGTTTTAAGGATGACCGTCCCACTCTGGTCGGTTGGTCCACCACTTTGGTAAAGAATGAAGTATCTCAACAACTACTGGATGGATTTACATTAAATGTGCAGACATTCATGATCAACTCTGGTGATCCCCTGACTTTTCCACTAGCTTGAACAATAAGTCAACATTTGCACTTATCCAGTGAGGCATCTCAACATCTACAAGGTGGATTGGCACAAAGTTTGGTACAGTGTTTGTTCTCCAAATGATGGGTCCTGTTGATTTTGGTAATGACTTTTCATCTAGTGTCACCGTCACCATAAGTTAACATTTTTATTTTGTCCAACCTGCAAAACCAATGACCTTCTCATCAGCATCAGCTGTACTTTGTGTTTAGTGCTAATTAGTAAATGTTAGTATGCTAACACGCTATAGTACGGAAGCCCTAAGTGGCCATCCATTCAGATACTTTTTTTAGTCAGTTTTCCCGTGATAATGGCATAATTTTCTAGTGATCTCGAGATAACAAACCATAGCTGAATAAATGGATGGGCAGATGTGTTTCTTTAGGATAATTTCAGAAAACATGTTAATGTCACTGGTTAGCTTAGTTGGTACAGCACAGGACTCATAACCCAGATAGCAGCTGACTCTGGGCCGGATCCGCCTCCAAACCGGCAGATCCGTGTAACAGTCACGCCCGTTTTACTGCCCCGTTCCAGATACGGCCCGCATGTAGTCTGTGTACACTCAGGAGTGGGCGTGAGCATCCATCAGTCGGCGGAATCATAATAGTTCTGGCCCGGACTTGTCGGAACGAGCGTGCGAATTGTTTCTTTTTTTTTCTTTCGAACCGGTTCATACAGGACCAGAATCAGTCAGCGGAATCGTAGTTGTTCTGGCCCGGACTCGTCGGAACGAGCGCGCGAACTGTTTCTTTCTTTGGATCAGTTCGGACTGGAAGCTTTGGGGAAAGAGTTTATAACGGTAAGTTGAACGATGTTACAGTCAAACAGTTTAGTGAGATTGTTTTTAATAGTGGTGTAATGCTTGTTAACATCATTAAC